TGATTGATTGATTGAGTGAGTGAGTGAATGAGTTGCGCGCGACATGATCGATCGCGAGAATGACCTCAAACATACCTTGGTGAGTGGGATGACGAGGTAGTCCAGTGTTGGCTCCTTCTTGAGTGCTGAGTTCATTCGGCCCAATGCTACGGTGTATAGTGTTTCGACTGTGATGACTGCCTCGTGTACTTTTGCTCTCTCCTCAAGCCTAGCCTCAACTTTAGCACCCGTGGGCTTGTCAGCAGCCTGACCCTTATTGACMACCACCTGCTGATGTAGTGGTCGTTGATGTTGAGGATGTTGATGACGATGATGAGCCATAGTTCTTGTTCTTTTGTACTGGAGGGGGTGCTGGTAGTTCAATCTCGTCATTATCAACGAGTACTTTGATATCAGTATACTCATAGTTGTTTGGTAATGACGATGAGATGAAGTTCTTGTTCGTTGAGGATGATGATGATGATGATGAGCCATAGTTCTTGTTCTTAGGTGGCGGTGGCGCTGGAGTTGATGCTGGTGCTGTGGTTGTTGATGTCGATGTCGATGTTGTCGATGATGATGAGCCATAGTTCTTGTTCTTTGGTGGCGGTGGCGCTGGAGTTGATTCTGGTGCTGTAGTGGTTGATGTCGATATTGTCGTTGATGATGAGCCATAGTTCTTGTTTGAAGATGTTGTGGCCGTCGTTGATGTTGATGTCGATGTTGTCGATGATGATGAGCCATAGTTCTTGTTCCACAATGTTCCAGGGACTGGGATTGAGTCGAATGCTCCATCATCAACAACACGTGGAATGATTGGTGCGGGTATCGTTGATGATGATGATGAGCCATAGTTCTTGTTCTTCTTTGATGTGGTCGTCGTTGTTGTTGTTGTCGTTGTTGTCGCCGATGATGATGATGAGCCATAGTTCTTGTTCTTCGAGGATGAAGATGATGTTGCCACCAGTGATGTGACATCCTTGTTCTTGGTCGCTGCCATACCTTCCTTCTTTACATTTGGAGGAGATGGTGGAGGAACATTTGGTAATGGAGCTGGTAACTCGAGCCCTCCATCCGGTCCAAGAATGTACAATCTGTGCCTCTTCTTCTTAGGAGTGCGCTCCTTGGTCATACGTTCCCATTTGAAGAAGTGCAGGAGACCTGATATAGACGATGCCAAAGGGTAGTCGGCCACATCCACATATACCAACATGCTAGTAAAGTATGTTAGAGTCATGCTCGTCAACCAGCTTGTCAAGTGACTGATATACATACCGCTCGGTCATCTCCAGACACTTGTCCAATGAGTTATTATAGGCATCGCTGGCAAGGAGGTGTATCAGCATTTGATGTGGCTGCGCAACAAGCATGGATGGAGAATGGTTAGTCGTCGAGTCGAGTCGATTGATTGAATGATCATTCGATTGTACGTACAGCCTCCTTTCGGTATAGCTTCAACAGCCTGGGGATGGTGTAGAGTGTCGTTCGTATGTTCTTGTTGTAGAGCTCCAAGTCCTTCTCAGTGAGCAGCCGGATGATGCCGGGCATGCAACTCATTGGGATGGGACGCATGTTGAGCACTGGCTCAATCAAGGCGAATGCCTCTTCATTGCGATGCTGTGCCACCAGTTGATTGAACGCACGTTCGGCCGACATCCAATTGACAGAGTACATATCGACTGTCCTCAATATCCTCTCCTTCTTCCTCACTCTATTCGATTGTCCCTGTCTATTAGCTTTGGCCTCTGCTTTATGACCAATACTATATCTTCTTTGTTTCTTCTTCGGAGGTTGTTTCGGTGTTGTTGTATCTTCCTCCTCGCCTACATCGACTGCATCATTGTCTTCTTTCTTCTCTTCTGATGTGTTTGTTGTGTATCTAGTAGTTGTCGTCGTCGTTGTTGTTCTCTTTGGTTCCTTCTTTGGAGATGGTACTGGTGATGTTGATCGTGAGCTTGATGTTGAGGTTGATGGTGAGCTGGATGCTGAGGATGAGGCTGAGTCTGTGTCTGAGTCTGAGGCTGAGGTTGAGGTTGAGGTTGACTTTGATGTTGACTTGTGGATTGGAGTTGATGGGATTGATGACTCCAACTCATCATCATCCTCATCATATTCATCCAACATGTCCATCCATTTCTTCATTCTATCTATCTTTATCTCTATCTCACTTTCGTTCGTTTGTTGTTGGGTCCCAAATCAAAATGACAAACTTCCTCAGTTCATTCATTCTTTCGTTTATTCAATCAAGTGATATAGATAGAGATAGAGATATAGACAATAAGGAAGGATTATACAAATGTTTATACATCTTTTATTACATTATAATCAAGCATCAATCTTATGCTGGATTGACTGACCTATGCTGGATGGATGGAGTTGATGAAGATTATTGGACAATGATGTTACCCTTCTTCTTTCTGTAGTCATTCAGTTGCTGGACTGGTGTGGAGGCCTGCTGGTCGTAGCTGCTGTTGTCAAAGTCGTCCTCATCCTTCTCGTGAATGTGATCGATTTGGAAGATCTCATCACATGAGGCCAGGTTGAGCTCGTGTAGCTTGGACTTTAGGACGGGCGAATGTATTCTAAGTGTCTGCTCGGTCACTGGCGACGTCAATGGCTGCTCGTTGGCGGATGCGGCCACGTGGCTCATGCTGTCTCCCTCGCCCGCGTTGGAGCGGGCTCTCTCGCAGGCCAGCTTAAACCTGATTGCTGGCGACTGCATGTCAAAGCTGTCTTTGAGCGAGATGTTGGCGGGCAGGCCGATAAAGTTGTGCTTCTTGGACAGCACCACCTCCTTCATTCGCGACAGTTCGTGAGACATCTTGTCCATGTAGTTGATGAGCTGCTCGATCTTTACCAACAACTCGGCGCGGTACTTCTTCAACTTCCAAGGTGCCTTGACCACCACCTCGCCCTCGTCATCATCATCCTCGGATGAATCCGATGAGTCAGATTCGTCATCAGAGTCGGAGAGATTCAAGTCCAGGTCTCCCTCATCCAATTCCTCCTACATTATGATTCAACCAAGTAAGTTAATGACCATGTTGCTAATGTTTGGTCGAATGTTGGATAGTTTACCAAAGATTTGGAGGACTTGGAATCTTCCTTATGTTCATGTGAGCTGGCTGTGTCGCAATGGTGTACTCCACCTGACGAGTTTGGGCACTCAGCTGCAGCAGATGCCCTCGCCACAAGTGTCTCTGACTTTTGTCGAAGTAGTTGAGAATGTCTTTTGTTGTTTCTTGTGTTGTCCACGATACTCAAAGAGTCCAGTGTGTCGATGTTGTCAATTAGATCGGACGACTCGACTGAGATGAAGTACTGAAGACGACTAATCTTTCTTCTTAGATGGTCGTAACCCTTTGGTGGGTCATCCAAATTGATCGCATCCACTTCATTCTGAATCGCTTGTGCACCTGTTATAGAATTCAGCAATCTATAATTGCATTTCTTAATTATTCCTTGTTGATCACTTAGTGATAACATTATGTTCTATTCTCTATATCTATATATATATCTATCTATCTTCACTATATTAATTGGAAGTTTGTTTGATTGATCCACTCTGGATATTTGTTGGAGTGTATCCAACAACAATAATTAATTTTTAATATTATTATTATTGTTAGAATTAGTCAAACAAAATAATACCCTGACTTCACTTCCTTTCAACCTACTTTTGAGTTTGGCAATTAATTAACTTTAATATTTAACACTCACAATTATTATTTATCTGTGTATGTATCTGTCTTTGTCTCTTACATTCATTGACAATGGGGGTATTTGAGGATGTAGACAAGACAACACAACCCAACACACCCTTCCTACAAACACTAACCCCCACTTACTTACTAACCTCACTCCTACATCTCTAATTCCTAGTTCCTCCATTCTCTTCCAGCTCATATTCTTATTCTTCATTCATCTTCTTCGTCACACACAAACACACAATTCTTACAAACAAACTCACACACTCACCTTGTTATATAAAATTACTTAATTTAGTCTTAGACTTGCCTTTTTAAGTCAAGTGGGTCCATGTGACCCTTTATATCCTATTTTATAATACAAAAAATAAAGTCTGGTGTAAAGGAGATTGAAAGGTCAATCCAGGATGCGGCCAAATGATAGATGGTCCTTTGACCAACACCATGACCATGTTGGACCAATGGATCTAATTGTGGACTCACATGGACCGACTTTTCAAGGCCCAAGGGACAGTCGAAGGCCCTGGCCCAGGTAATCCCTTTCCTCTCCATGTATATTATATCTACCATTTGGTTTATTATTATTAATATTATTATTATTATTTAACAAAGTGAGGTTATCACTGTAATTCGTGTTCATCATCATCATCTTGTTGTTGCCATTGTGCACGATGATGATGATGATCGTCGTCATTGTGATCCTCGCCAAAGGTAGCCTCGTCGTACTCTTCAAACGCAGTGTCACTCATCACTTTTTGATCGCGACGCCTTCGTTCCAGCTCCTGCTTCTGCTGCTGGATGAGCGGCGCAATGAACATGCCCAGCTGTGTCGAGTAGAGCGTGACGAGATCGCCCGTGGACGACTGCACCTTGCGCACAGTCGGTCGGTGGATGCTGCCGTCGGCGTTGAGATGCGCGTACATGCAGCTGGTGCCAAACTTGCAGCTGCCCTTGCCATTGTTGAAGTACTTGCAGGGGATGGTCGACAGCTTGGACTTGTACTCGTCGATGATCTCCTGCTTCTCCTCCTGCGAGACAAACACGTCGCTCGGTATGATGAAGTAGCTGTTGACGCGACACATAGGGCAGAGACGCACCGAGTTGTTGCTGTTGCTCAGTGGCTGTGGTGCGCCGCTGGCGGTGGAGCCGCGCCACTCGCGGATGCAGTCCAGACAGAAGATGTGGTCGCAGTGGCTCAGCAGACCGAATCGCTGGTTCTTCTCGACGACCGACTCGAAGCAGATGCCGCACTCCAAGTTCCTAATATGCTCGCGCTGCACCATTCTCTGTCTGCTTGCCAAACACTGCTTCTTGTGCTCATCATTCTGGGCAGCATGTCCTGGCACAAGCATTGGCTTGTCACACAGATCGCACATGTTGCCATGTATAAATTTACAACCGTCTCCATTCCTACATCCACCTTGTAAGTAGAACAGACATAGTGCCTTTGTGTGTGGATGGATTGGTAAGTATCCCGCTGGCGGGGTAGAACATGCTAAGGGCTCTGCAACCGATCATTCTTACCTCTGTCTTAGAGTCATCTTTGGATGTTGATGTTGTGGACGTGTCATCTTCCAAATAGAAGTTGGGCGGGAGTTCCAGGTTCTGCTTCAAGACCTCGAGGTAGGACAGTGGCTTCTTGGGATCCGATGTGTCCAAGCCTCCTGTTGTTGCCGCAGCTGCCGTTGTTGTTGATGTTGTTGGTTGTGGCTGATCAGTGTTGTTGGACGAAGAGATTGTTGATGTTGATGTAGTCTTGTCAATGCTGAGCTCACCAAACTGTTTGGTCATTAGTCTTTGATGGTCATATGGATCGAACGCCATGTCATCATAGTTGTCATCTATCACATTCAATCCACGATCATCAAAGTCAAAGAGATCGTCGTCATCGTCGTCGTCATCGTCCTCCTCCGAGGATGGCTCCTTGAAGCCCGTGGCATAGAAGGGCGATGGCGATGAGGACATGAGCGTGGCGTTGTGCGCGACAAACTGGGGGCTGAACGGTGACGAGGGCGACGTGGAGAGGAGTGTGCGCGGCGAGTTGGGGAAGAACGACAGGCCGGTGATCCTCGACGGAGACAGTGCAATGTTGCCCATGGCCTGAGTGAGCAGGGGCGACTTGGGCGTGGGGCCATGGTCCATCATCGACGAGAGTGACTGACGGGGCGACGAGAACTCCCCCAAGATAGAGTCGCGGAACGAGGATGATGTATGAGTGCCCATCGCCGGGAGGAAGGGCACCGGGTGGGCGTGGCTATAATGATGCTGCTGAGTCTGTTGCTGTTGATGGTGATGGTTGTCATCGATGAATTGTCTGTTGCTGTTATTGTTGATGCTGTTAGGTTGTCCTACATGTCCTTCGTGGTGTTGTTGATGTTGATGATGGTGGATGTTGATGGGGATGGTTGGGATGAATGAAGCACTATTGTTGTTCAGGGCGGATATTGGATGTATTGATGTCTGGTGTCCAGGGCTGTTGAATATGCTGTTGCCCATCAATGACTCCATCGTTGGTCTTGGTGATGATAATATAGGGTGGTCTGATACATTGATTGTTGTTGTAGTTGTTGTTGTTGTAGCATTGTTATTAATGTTATTGTTGTTATTGTTATTGTTATTATGTTGTTGTTGCTGTTGATGTGCATTGTTGTTATTGTTGGGACTTGTATTGTTGCTGTTGGGACTTGTGTTGTTGCTGTTACTGTTGTTGTTGGCGGCGGCAGCCTTCTTTGAGTCGTGTAGGTATGGACACTTGGAGCCACTCTTGCAGAAGCCATTAAGGTAGTATTTACACAATGGTGCACCTCCTCCTCCTCCACCATTGCCAGCTTGTTGTGTATTGTTGTTATGATGGTGATCCACTGTTGAGTTGCTGCCGCTGTTGCTGTTGTTGCCTCCTTCGTATGATGATGACGATGATGATGATGCATCACTGCTCGACATATCGTGCGAGTACTTGCAGTTCTTGCCAGATAGACATTTGCCACTCTTGAAGAACTTGCATACTACAGAGTTGCGTCTGTCCTGTGTCTGTTGTTGCTGTTGTTGGTGCTGGTGATGATGATTGTGGTAATGATTGCTCATCCTTCCTTGTTTGTTTGTTTGTTTGTTTGTTGTTGGACGCTAAGCTTCGACAGTGACTGTCTATGCTGCTGCTACTACTGAGTGAATGATTGTTTGTTTGTTTGATTGATTGTTTGTTTTATAATGTAAGGGTTATTGTTGTTGTTGTTATTGTGTTTAGGTTGAATGAAATGAATGATGGTAATGAGTGGAGTGAGAATGAGTGATGGAATGAAAGAATAAATTGAGGTCCTTGGATTTTTTTTTTTAATGTGTTTTGATTGCTTCATTTAAATTTTAATTAATATTAATATATTTGGTTTGATTGAAGGATTGATTGACTTAATTGATTGTAATCATAATATCATTTGAGGGAGTTCCTTGATAATAGTTCCCAATTTTTAGACTTATAAGTCTTTTGAATATAGATGTACCAGTTAGATTACCCAAGATTGATCACTTATCTAGTGACAAACAAACACAAGACTCTTCCCAAAGTATCAATAGGTGTTGGGGCCAAACAATGAAGTCCAAAACAGATAGTATCTTTGAAACTTCTTTGCCTTTTTGTGCATAACAAAATTAGATTTTGGTTAAAGTACGGATTGTTTGATTGATTGAATTGACTTTACGGATTGTATCATCAATCAAGTCTACTTGTTTGTCAATCAAGGTACCTAATGATAAGGTCAAACAATCAGTAATGTACTGATAGATAGATCATATTAGAACCTTCATTCATCCTTTCGTCCACTTTTACCCATCAATCAATCAGTCAGTCAAGTCAGCCACATTCATTCACACTAACTCACTCACTGTTACTTACTTTTCACCCTACACCAATCGTCGAACAAACATTAATTCCTAAAATTCGTCTCTCACCTCATACCGACACACACACTCAAATGTAACACTTTCAGTCAAGTCTGTCACATTACATTCACATTCACTCACCTCACTCAACTGCCACCACTTACAACAACATAACATATTATTATTATTATTATTATTTATACTTTTACACATCATATCATATTATTCATTCACCTCACTTCACTTCACTTCACTCAACACATACACATACATATACACATAAACAAGATATATACTTGTTGAAACAATTGCAATCAATCAAACGAACGGAGCACGGACACACACGGCCCGGCACGGCAGGCATCATCGATCGTACACAACGACATCACATCGCATTGCAACGCATAGCATCACATCACTTGAAGGTATGAATCTTTAGCACACGCAGTAGCAACAACAGTAATTGTTGTTGTTGTTGTTATTCCAGTTGTAGTAGTAGCGGAAAGGATGAAAGGAATGAAGGACATGTGACAGGATGGGATGGGATGTGTCAGGGCATTCACGATGCAATGCACAATTCACCAGGCCATCAATCAACCATTCATTCATTCAATCAATCAAAGTCAATCAATGGATACTAATACATATCTATGACCATCAATCATTCTATCAATCAATCAATCAAACAATCAAGAATAACAAGTGATTTAAATTATTGAACCATTATATATATCATTATAGAACAACAGTTGAACAAATAGTGATTGAGTGCAACTAGCAGTAAGCAGTTGCAAGACAAGCAAGTAGCAGACGAGCGTCGACAGGACGGGCTACCAGGCAAGGTAGTTACAGATATATGGAAGATCCCTCATCATCAAAGACCAACAACATCAATAGCAGCGGCAATAGCAGCAACAACAACAACAGTAGTAACAATAATAATAATAATAGTGTGACCATTACATCCATCGTGGTAAATGGGAGCACAGACCAGAGCACAATGGACAATCAACAGGACGATCAAGAGCACACTGCCCCTGGTGGCGGGGATAGCGTTCTTGGCGTGGAGCCTAAGGTGACGGACAAGAAGAGAAAGCTATCAAACTATGGCACGGAGGAGAGCACCTATCATCACCTAAAGAGGCCGTCTTTGGGTCAGTACCTCATCGATCACCTGATTGAGTCACTCGCGCATGGTTTCTAATACTCGTCCCAATCAATCAATCATTGTTGTTATGACCAACAGGTGACATCAATACACCAGTACCACTATCGAACTTATTCAGACGAAACAGCTTTAGCTCGGGCTCGTCACCAAGGTCATCGACGAGCACCACAACAACAAGTGATCAATTGATTTGCCGAGGCGAGCGCGAGGAGGACCTCGAGGAGATCAGGAGGGAGAGACTCGAGCGTGACAAGATGCTCCACGAGTCTGCCGACGAAGCAATCTTCAAGTATGGCGACGGAGAGGAGGGAGAGAATTTGTTGCTGCGAAGGAGCAGCAGCAGCAGGAGGAGGATGTCGAGCATCAACGACCATCACGAAGATGGTAATGAACATGATCATGACCACGATCACGATCACAACGACAATGATGATATGATCATTGACACCATCACGACCAACCATGATGATGCCAATGATCATGAGAATGATCACGATCATGACAATCACATCCCACTTAACAGTACCAACAACACCGATGACGAATATGACAATCACACCAACAACAACACCGACGACGACGACTCTGGCATGATGATGGACGACCCCTTCTCTCGGGGCAACAGTCCAGTGCGCAGCAACAATCCTCTGCGCAACCGTCTGCTCATCACCGAGCCAGAGGAGCACCACAGCACCGACGACGAGCACGAATCTCGCAAGTCGGACGAGAACCTCAAGACGCCCACCGACGACTCGGCGCACCTGGCCAACGACCACACGGGCTCAACACCACCAATCACCACCATCGACGACGACGACGACGACGAAGAGGACGACGATGTACCACTACGTATCCGAACGTGCGCCACCAACAAGGCGCCCAAGCTGGCGCTCAGCAACTGCTGGCTCAAGGTGATCCCCACCGAGGTGTGGTCGCTCACCGAGCTGCGCGACCTCGACCTGTCGGCCAACCAGCTCAAGAAGGTGTCCAAGTCGATCGGCACGCTCGTGCATCTTCGTCGTCTGCGCCTCAACCACAACCAGCTCACCGTGCTGCCCAAGGAGTTCTACACGCTCAACCGTCTCACGACGCTCTACCTCAACAACAACAACTTCAAGACGGTGCCCAAGGACATCAAGCATCTGACCAGTCTCAAGCTGCTCGACCTGAGCTTCAACCAGATCACCGAGATCCCATCGCAGGCTAGCATCAACAAGATGGTCAGTCTAGTGGATCTTCGTCTGCGCTACAACCAGCTCTCGACGCTGCCTTCCAACATGCTGGACGCCACGCACCTACAGGTGCTGTGGCTCGAGGGCAACCGACTGCCACTTGCCAAGAACATCCTGAAGAAGTCTCCTGCCGAGATCTTCACGTTCCTGCGCGCCTACAAGCCCGTCCCCAAGAAGGTCAACGTAGACAAGACGAACAAGGGCATTCAGCTGCCCACGTCAATCAACGTGGCTCAGACGATCGCCGTGGCACAGGAGCTGGCGCAGAGCGCCATCGAGAAGAATGACACAAAGAAGCGCAAGAAGGAGAACATCAACGAAATCCAGAACAAGGTCAAGCAACTAGAGGAAGAGCTGGTCGTGGCCAATGCCAAGGCCACCAAGCTCGAGGAGGAGGCTGCCGTCCTTCAGCAGCTGCACACCCAATTCCCTGTAAATCTACCACAAAACTACAATGGTCTGCGCGACACTCCACCGCCCACCAACACGCCGCCATCCAACGTGTCGCCTGTGCTCAGCAGCCAGCTGGTGGTCAACGCCATCAACAACATCTCGCTGCTATCGCCCACGCCACCACATCACGTGCCACCCATCCAGATCACACAGCCACTGCCCGCGCAGCCACTGCCAACCCAGCAGCTGGCACCTCTGCCACTCAACCAGTTTCCACAGCCCACAAAGAAGGAGTCGCCGTCCGCGACGCCGCCACCTGAGAAGCACTTTGAATGGGAGATTGCGCTGTCAGAGATCAACTGCGGCACATGCATTGGCCGCGGCGGCTACGGCCAGGTGTTCCGAGGCAGCTGGCGGGGAACAGAGGTGGCAATCAAGATGCTCTTCAACGATAACTTGAGCCAGAAGTTGCTGAACGACCTCCGAAAGGAAGTGGACTTGCTGTGCAAGTTGCGCCACCCAAACATTCTACTGTTCATGGGTGCATGCACCGAGCCCCGCTCGCCGTGCATCGTCACAGAGTTCATGTCGCGTGGCAGTTTGGCCAGCCTTTTGACTGATGAGACGGTCGAGCTCGACTGGGGCCTGCGCCTGCAGCTCGGTCTGGACTGCGCAAGAGGCGTCACCTACCTTCACTCGCGACACCCCGTCATCATCCACAGAGACCTCAAGACTGACAACCTTTTGGTTGACGAGCGTTGGCAGCTCAAGGTGGCCGACTTTGGCCTGGCCACTGTCAAGTCGCACACATTCGCCAAGACTATGTGCGGAACAACTGGCTGGGTTGCACCAGAGGTGCTGGCCGAGGAGGGCTACACTGAGAAGGCAGACGTCTACTCATTCGCCATTGTGCTCTGGGAGTTAATGACGCGCCAGATACCCTACGCTGGCAAGCTCACCCTACAGGTAGTCAGGTCGATCGATCGTGGCGAGAGACTGGCCATCCCACCGTGGTGTCCGTCCGACTATGCGACGCTTATCAACATGTGCTGGGAGACCGATCCCTCCAAGCGACCTTCCTTCCCCGAGGTCCTGCCATTGATGGAGGCCATGGTCGCCAAGTTCCACAAAGAGAAGAAGTACGCCATTGAGCACGGACTTCCCATCCCACATGTGGGTCCACCAATCGATGGAACCGAGCCACAAAAGCAGCTTCAGCCCACCAAGCAGCCACAAGCAGCTTATCCACCACCTGCCGCTACAGTAGTAGCAGCGGCAGTGAACAACAACAACAACAACAATTTGACAACAGTAGTAACAGCAGCAGCAACAACAGCAGCAGCAATGGTAGCAACTCCGGTGACAGGAGCACCCCCAGTAATCAACAACATCAACAACAACAATCAATCATAATCACAACAACACAATAACCATAATATTATTGAATTATCGCTATGTTCAATCCAAATCCAGATGGATAGTTGGATGATCACTCAACCTCAACACTCCCTTTTCCACTCACTCACCTTCACTTTGGCGAACTCCTGTACAGAGAGAGGACCAAGAGAATGAAATAAAGACTCATTTCTTTGTCGACAAAGATCCTTTTTTAATTACTGGTAAGGGTATTATTATTAAACAAAAAAATAATATTGATTGGTTTGATTGATTGGATTGATTACCAGATGATCAAGATCTCGATGACCAAGCCCCCAAAGTTGTCGGTTACAACCTTTTTCAAATTTTTGAAATTACGGCAACACTTGAGAGGTGTGAATCCCTGGTCACAAGCAGTCGACTTTGAAAGCACCAGCTCAGTAGAGTTGCAGATGGGTGGGATTTCCCCCTCGTTCACTCCACCCTCTTATCATTCATTCACCAACCCTCACTCACTCTCTTCACAACAACATCATTAAGGTGATTCATCATATATATATATACATATACAATCATTCATATTATATTACTACTACTACTAGGCATAACAGTATCTGTATCAGCTGATAGTGTCACAGACATAGTTGTAATACCATTTGAAAAAGATAGAGAGAGAAAGAGAGACAGCCTATCATGGTGTCAATGAGCGTCAGCAATTGGATTGTGCTCATCATTGAGCTACTGGGCGTTGGACTTGCAGTCACCATCTCAATGAAACAATACATATCATTCAAGAAGACTCCATTCTACGCCCTGTTCACCGCATGGCTAGGATGGTACCTTTGTTTCAACATTGTATTCCTAGTGCCAATCGATATTTTAGCAGTATGTAGTCAATCCAATCGATCAATTCGATCACTCACTGACCCCGTATCCCCATCCATATCAAATAGTCACGCCACAATGATTGTATAGATAAGATTAATAATAGTACAGCATGTAAGAATGCCACAGTGGTATTGCCTGAATGCAACACATCTCAGATGTGTCCAGAGCCAATAAGTTATTTGCCAGACTCTGTCATGGTGGTACAATGGAGTGTGCTGTATTGGGGCACATTCATCCTGTCATGGGTGATCTTCCCCGTGCTGCAGACCTACTCGGGTACGGGCGACTTCCGTTTCCGCGAGCGTATAATGCGATCGATCAAGGAGAACATCATTCTCTACTCGTTCATGGGCATCTTTGGTCTGGTCATCGGCATCGTCATTCTAATCTTCTTCCGCGACAAACCGCTGACGGCACTGGTCGAGGCGCTGTTCACACTGATCAATGTCTATGGTCTGGTGCTCGTGGTCATCACAATGGGCTTTGGCCTGGTCGACGTGCCCAGGAACTTGCTGCGCAAGTCCAATCACTACCGCACACTTCGACATTATAGGATCCAGGCGGTCGTCCTCAAGTCCGAGCTGGACGAGGCACAAAGACTACTTGAGGAGCACCTCAGACTGATCAAGGCCACCTCTGACAAGGCTGGCGAGTTTGATCCATTCAGAAGATACTTGGACATCATCATATCAAAGGTATTATGATCTCCTACTCTATTGGAAAGATTCCAATCATACTCACACATCAACCTCACACACTCTAGTGTCCTTTGGAGTTTGACACAATCGACACTGATGATATACAGGTGCCTGATCTCACCTACTCAAAGGTGGTGGAGATGCACGCCAATCTAATGGACTATACACATATGGCTGAGAGATCAGACGCCATGTACACCAGACTGCTGGGCAAGGCATTCGCTGCAGAGGACATCATTGCAACATTGGAATCACCCAAGGAGAACAGGGAGAAGAGGATCAAATGGAGCTTCAAGAATGGCAGCACCAGCCCAAGTAAGGCCAAATGGGAGTACTATTGGCACCTCTACATCTATCCCAACTTCTACAAGGTGGTCGGCGCATTCTGTGCCATCATGTCCCTCTTGGTCGTATGGGCTGAGGTCTCCCTATCATTCGGTTCACGTGTCAAGAGCGTGTCTCCATTCGCTTTGGTAATTTACAGTACCAGTGCATGTAAGTTGATTGATTGATTGAGTGATTGAGCGAGTGGCTAACATTCAACATCCAATCACGCCTCCCTCTCTCTCCAGCTCTAAGTGGATTTGGACTTCAAATCTTCTGTTTCATACCATTGCTCTACATGGCAATCTGTGCATACACTACACTATTCAAGATACGTATATTCAACTACTACCGACTGGTACCACAACAACAGACAAACTCGCTCAGTATCATGTTCAGCTCAAAGTATGTCATGGACCAACCAACCAACCAACCTGGAATTGGACATTCATGGATCAGATTACTAACTCATCCATTCACTCAATCAATAGCTACCTTGGTCGTTTGGCAGCACCATTGTCATTCAACTTCATCCAGATATGTGGAATGAATGACAGCTCATTCTCTGCGGCAATGGGTGACACGGACGCATTCGCATTGAAGAACTTCAACTTGTACTTCCCAATCATTGTTGGCGTTGTCTGTATCATATCACTGTTCTCCATTCATACAAGAGTCGCCAGCATGTGCTGCATCAAGAGTCTGCGCGTCGTCACCGACACTAGTGAGGCGGCCGCCGAGAAGGGCGTCAAGATATTGAAGCAGGTCAGAGATGCTCAGGTGGAGGGTGTGCCACCACCCAAGACGCGTATGGGCGTACTGAAGGACTTTATCACTGGCAAGGGCTCCAAGAAGAAGAGCACGGCCACCGATGGTGCCACAGACACACGTCCACAACCACAACGTCCCGTCTACAAGGCGCCACAACAAAAGAGCACCGTCATGATGGGTCTGTCGAGGGACTACACCTCCAAGAATGGAACAACGTTCAAATCAGTCAAGACGAACGAGGCCAACAATGCCATACTGACGTCGGACACTCGTTCATCCGATGCTCGTCTAGAGTCCAAAGGACTGAACTATTGGGACAAACTCAAGTTCAAGTATGACTCTGATGATGACGATGACATTGAAATGGGTAAATTCTAAATATAAATTAATTAATTTAACATATACCTATTGTTGGTTACGATACGATTGATGTCATTGATTGATGGATCGATGGACATAGATGGATATGATGGACATGAGTTTGACTTCAACTTCAGGATGATGAACACGTGATTGGAAATTCACGAAGTCGCGGATGGATGTGTGAGAAGAGTTGACACACTTTGAACCTCATTCATTCATTCGTCAACTCATACACATATATAAACATATAAATATAATATATACAAAGATGACAATAGTAACAGTTGCATATTGCAAGGGTATGCCTTATCTTGGAGAGTGATTAACTGACGAAGAATACTGAACTAACTCATCGATCAATCAATTGAATCAATCGACAACTTTAAAAGTCTGTGGACTGCCAACAGAGTATTGCGAGTTTGGTCCTACACCTGCTGAATGTTTGGCAGTTAATGGTCCACAAGTATCAGATGTAGCAGCAGGATCATCATCATCATCTTCAGATAATACACAGACGTCATCAACAGATAATACATCAACGACTTCGACGACTACTACATCAACAGATTCAACAAGCGATAAACTACAACAATTAAAGATAGTGGATGACTCAAAGGACGAATCACATACAACTGCAGCTTCGACGACGGACGCCACTGCGCCAGCAGCTGCCGCTGCTGCGCCAGCAAAGAAGAAGAAGGAGGTAAGGCCAACGATCACAATCGAGCTCTCACAGAGAACAAAGAGAAAGCACGTCACTACGATCTGCGGCCTCGACGCCTTTGGCATCAAGCTGTCCGACGCCACTAAACTGATGGCCAAGAAGTTCAGCTGCGGCTGCTCCGTCATTAAGACCGCCTCGGGCACCGAGGAGATTGACATCCAGGGCGACTTCCAAGAGGACGCCGTCGACTTTATCCTGGACAAGTGGAAGGTGGTGTCCGAGGGCGACATCTACTTCCTCGAGGACAAGAAGAAAGTAAAGGCAAGATAAGGTTCGCGGTAATGACGCCCCCTTTGCAACACAACCAACAACCAACGACAACACAAGTCTTTGAGCAGCGACAGACACTTTCTTCTGTGCATCCTTTTATTCAACTGACATTGACGGTTACAACAACAGACACCTCTGTCGTTGCCGTCCTCCTACTATTCTTCTTGTTTCTTACTGGTACTGGGTTGGATGGATGCCGACCGAGGGCGGGCGGCGGTGTTGGGGCAGGGGGTTGGGTGGTGGCACAGACGGCGGCGACGATGTCACACGAGGATTACAAGGCAAGGCAAGGGCGTTTAGGCGTACTCCTTCAAGTACTCCGAGGCGACGATTCTCGCACGCGAGTTGAGGGTGATCTTGAGGTCTGAGACCTCTCTGTCGATGTCCTCCATGAACTGAATGATAAAGTCAACGAGCTTGTGCTTGAACATAGCCTCGGTGTGGAAGTTGGTCACGAGGAAACTGATGTCGTAGCCCTCGACTGGCTTCCTTCTGAGGATGATGAAGTTCTCGGCTCTCTGCACGAGGAAACGGACAAACTTCTTTGCCAGGATGACCTCGACCTCATCCGACTTCTTGATGCTGACGCTGATACGCACAGAGTTGATCGAAGTCTCGATCATAACCTTCTCCTGCTTGTTACGTGCAATGACGATTGGGTTGCAGAGCAACTCCTTGCTGTTCCTGTTTTGTTTATAAGTTTAAAAGAATGTACATTCGCATCATTTGATTGATTGATTGATTATGTTGATTGAGTGATTGGTGTGCAATTATATGTTAGCATCATTATCCTTTGTCCTTTGTCAATTGATTGATAGTTGTCATTCATTGATGTCGATGTTTGATATGATTGATCGATGTCGATGGTTGTCCTCGCCTGTCTGTTCATGTTGATGTTGATGATGCTTATAAGACACATACTTAACCTCGACCTCTGGCTTGTTATGTCTCTCGACGATCTGCGAACCAAAGTTCTCTAGACAGATGGCTGCAGTCAAAGTCGTTCTGATGCAGTTCAGATATGGCAGTTGAGCGGTAGTCTGTGTATATTGTCATCATTGAATGTTAGTTAGTTCCTATGCTGTGTGATCCTGTTGTTCTTGAAGATATCATGATTGATTGATTGATCAATCACATACCATTGTTTATATATTAGTGTTTATTTATAAATAGAAGTTAGATAGAATACAAGTTTGTTATATATAACAATAATATAATATATGAAAGAGGAAGGATGAAGAGGTAGTGTATACAGGTAGATGGAGTTTTAGTGAAGTGAAAGTGAAGCTCTGATGATTGCTGGATGGCAGGATGCCCCCAGTCAGACTGGCCCACTTCAGTCACACACTTTACTTCAAAGACTAAACTCAGCCAGCCAGCCAAACAAACAGAAAGGAAACCCATCAGGTCCAGCCATCCATCCTCACACACTCACTTGAACATAATTTATTCATTTTTTTGATGTTGTTGTGATGGATATTTTTTTTTCATTCATTCACACAATCCATCAGAATAAATGATACTTTATTTGAATAAAATATTTAGCCACTAGTTTTGTTGGGATGAAGACACAATCACTAGTGTTGTTGGTTGAATTGACCGGTTGATTGAAGTCCGAGTTCCACATTCACACTCAATACACAATGTCACAAGACCTTCATTTGATTGATTGATTGATTGATCATTCAACAACTTATATTTATACATACATTAGAAAATAGGATTCGAAACGATGTACTATCTTAATGTGCGAGGTGCCCCATATCACTCACTCACTCATTCACCCAGGCAAGCACAGTGTGGATGACACTCTAGTGATTAACAGTCACTGATAATTGAAGGTGAGGCTCACTTCACTTCACTTCTCAGTTGTAATGTGCTAATATACTTTGCAACAAAAGTGAGTTCGATTGGACCTCAGAACACCAATACATTCACCCGATCGAAGGCATCTCCATTGAAACAACCAACCACGAAATATTATTTATATCCAAAGACTCCACTTGGGTCTTTGAGACTCAACAGGGCAAACCTGATCCGTCATCTGACGGACAACCCTTTTGGCGTTTACCAGTCTGTCTACCACATCACTTGTGAGGTGGTATTCTGATCACTCACCTCATACCTCCAAGAGTGTGTGCACTATTGCATAAACACAATGTAACCTTTTAGATCGAAAACCTCGCTTTTGAAGAGTGATCAGTCAAACACACTCACCCCCATTCAAAGTGCATTGAACTTATAAGTTCTGGAAATATACTTTATAAATGTGTTTAATAATAACAATCATCAGAGATATAATATATATATAATAATAATAATAATAATAATAATAATAATGAATTCAGTATCACTTTCATCAAGGTGGAATGGAACTTTTGATACATATTTACCTGGACCTTTGGCAGGATATTTGACACCTTTTGAATATCTTTCAGTGGTCGATAGTATTAATTCAATAACCAAAAGACCAAGTTATATCAAACTATTTATATGTTTTATCTATTTCATAATATTCAGTGCAATGATTGGAACAACAATAGCCATTCAAAAGTTTTATCATGATTCATTCCTTCATACAATATTCATAAGTATAATGGTATTAATGGGTCTACTATTCATTGTTATAATATTATTTAAAAGAAATAATGTAAGTTCACAATTATCTCAAATTCAAAGTCAAATTCAAACTCAAACTCAATCTCACACCATGGTTCATTCATTCATTCATTATAAATTAGTCTCGCAAGCAAATGGAACATTACCTGGCGTTGGTCAATCAACATTTCTCAGGTCGTGGAATTGTATTCAATGTAGAGTCAAGCTTTAGACAACACAATAGATTAATTATTTATTATCCACCAAGGAATGTTACTATTTATACTCAACCAATATTTATTTCACAACAACAACAACTGCAACAACAACAACAACTGCAATCAACTCCATTATCAATTCAACAACAATCATATCCAACCGAGGATATACCTGTATATAATCAACAAACTCAACAAGTCCAACAATCACAACAACCAACACAATCACAATCACAATCACAATCTCAACAATATATTAACATACCATTGACACCTTATCAATGTTCAGTTGGAAGTACAAGTATTCAAGCAGAGTCGACTCTGTTGTTGTCTGGAACATCGCCAGCCTAAAAGTTCGCACAAAAACACAGATTGAATTTCAACAACTTCCAATAAAACTTTGTGTTTTGATGTTCGGGCACGCGCCAAACAAGAATGAATGCTTGATGAGGTGCCATGTGACAATGAAAGTTGAACAACTATCTTTAATTAAACTATCCAATAAGATACAGATACAGATACATATATACAAAACGACACGACACGACTCGACACACATATCTATATATATTTACCCATATGTCAAGAGTTATAACTTATGAGCAAACAATCAAAGTATGTGTAATGGAATGAATGAATGGGATGTTTGATTGATTGATTGAGTGATCATATTGATTGACCAATGTTCATAGCTTCACAAAGAATATACTAGGGAACAATATAAACCAGCAGCAGCAACCACTTCACTTACCTGTAAGATGTTCAATGTTTGATTGATTGATTGATTGATTGATTGATTGGACTAGATGATTAACTCGATCAATACATACCATACCATACAACATTTAGAGACAGACAGGACCAGTACCGCTGAAACCTCAACCACCCCAACTGCAGCAACAACCTCTGCAGCCACAACCTCAACCTCAACAACATCAACAACAACACAGCAGCACCAGCAATGTCGTCTCAAATTCTATTGTTGCGAACAAGTTGGGAAATCTTCGACCTGCTTTAGGCCCACCATCATTGGCAAAGACACAAACTGGCACGTTGGCTCTCAAGAGTGGACCACCAACACTCAAACCATCTATTACCGCTCCACTGAAGCCACAGCCTCAACTTCATCCTCCCCCTCAGCCACAATATCAACAACCACAACATCAACTTCATCAACAGCAGCCACAGCAACATCAACAACAGAATAATCAATCACAGGCAGATCCCGCCGCATTCCTATTGACACCTTCATTCAAAACTACACCAAACATAACGACGACGACTACTAGTGCACCGCCTGCGCCTCAAACTTTTTCCTCAACAACTTCATCGTCAACATCACACGCACCCGCAACAACAATGGGCATTTCTACGTATCAGAATCAGTTCAAGTCATTGAACAACAACTTCAACAACAGCTTCAACAACAGCTTTAACAACACAAGTAGTAGCATCCAAATCCCTGTACATACCACCAAGCCGCCACAGCAACAGCAACAACAACAACAACAACAGCAGCATCAGAATCAGCAACAACAACAACATCAGAAGAATATATCGCTCCAGCCACAGGCGAGATCATTGCCTTCACTCAAACCACAACTGATACACCAAGGCAACACGGCACTACATATGCCCCCGCCAACGATTGTACCGCTTCAGCGAGCCACGTCACACCACGCGCAACAGCAGCCACAACAGACCTTCCAGCAACCCATCACTCTGTTGCCACCTCCAGACGCAATACCCGAAGAAATCATGGACTTTAGCATGGACCAAGATGACTTGATGATGTCGGACTTTGGTGTTGTCGGCGACGGCGGAGGCAAGACCGACGATGTTGTACTGGCGCTAACAAATGGTGGCAAAAGCGATACCAGAATGGTCAGCGAGGAGAGGATGAATGATATGTTGAAGCAGAAGGAGCTTGAGATGAAGGACTTGCAGGACAAGCTGCTGAGTCTTCAGGACAAGCTGATCAATCTCACCAATCAAGTGGGCGATCAGAACAACATCATATACGAGCGCGAAAGGGCCATTGAGAAGGTCACCCAGCAGTTGAAGGCTGCCACGGCTGCTGCCGACAAGTCGACGTCAACAACAACAACAACAACAGACAAGCGACAGCGAGACTCTGTTGATCTTACTTCAACTGAAGTCAAGAAGAAGGTCAAGCTGGATTCTGCAACATCGAATGGCCACAACAACAATGAGGCGGACTCCACAGCAGCAGCATCTGCACACTCATCATCAAGTTTAAGTGCTGGTGTGTTCACATTTGAGAAATCACCAACTGCAACTCAGAACGCGAGGACATTGGCCAAGCTGCTCTCCAGTCTGGATGGGCAGCCCAGCTTGCTCTTCTTGGTTCCACCAAATGTTGGCCAGAAGATGATGCAACCCATTTTGATGCCGCTCTCTCACTCAAACAGTCTGTCATCATCGTCAGCTTCATCATCATTGCCCTTCAAGTTGCCTCCCCCTCTGAACCTCTCAACCAACTCATCATCAATGTCACAGCGCAATGTATCCAAGCGATCACAACACTCACAGAGGACAACAACTCACAATGCCAACAACAACAATAACAATAATAACAACAATAACAATAACAATAACAACAACGATCAGCAACAACAACAGCCAGAGATAATAGACTTGGACTCACCTCAAAGGGCACATGGACATGGTTCAAAGATGTCATTGCCATCACCAAAGAGTGATGATCTAATGGAGATTGATTCATGTCAGTCCACATCATCATCGTTGATACTCGATCAGGCTGGAGACGAGTTGGCACAATCACTGTTCTTCATCCAGACATCACAACAACCTTGCAGTCTGCTACTATTCAAACTTCTTCCATTCCTCAAGGTCTCAGATAATGTAAGTTGGACATCACTCCTCAGAGTGGCACATGATTCCACAAAGCACTGACTGACGAACACATCAAACAGCATTTCTTCTTCATTGACAAGGCACTTGATGTCATACTCACTTTGTTGACAACATGCCGCGAGTGTAGAGATCAGTTCACAATGGGCAGCAACAACAACATTGGCCAACACAATCACAACAACAACAATAACAATAACAACAATATGGCGAACAATGCCAACGCCAACAAGTCGCCGCTCTCACTCAAGACCAATGGTGATGGTCAATCAATCACAATTTACCCAGTCACCCATGTCAAGAGCAGTCGCATCTTCTCCTTGGCTCCAACAGTCGCGCAACCAGTCACCAACGTCAACTCCAACAATAACAACAACGCCAACACCAACAACAACAATACAATCACCAACAACAGTACCAGTACCAGCACCTCTGGCGACCTTTACAATCAATCAAACAGTTGTGAGATACTGTCCTACTTGCTGAACAATCTTACACGCTTCCAGACACACTTGTCCATTCTCACCAAGGTGTTTAGAGTGTTTGCATTCACCGCCACTATCAACACCATCGAGAACAAGTCCAACACAAGCTTCGCGCCACTTTACCAACAATCGATCATAACGAGCATATTCTCAATGTCCAACTTTGCATTGAAAGAGGCATACCTGTGCGCCATCGAGGCCACCATCACTGATCAAACACTCTTTGAACTTGCCCAACTACACTTCAAAGACAGTGTCGAGCATGAACATGAACGCAATCTCTTGGACAGGATAATCATCCTGTTGATATCTCATAAGCATGGTGACAGGAATAATGTATGTATTCAATTTATTGATTGATTGGTCATCGCTCACTTACTCATTCATTCATTCATACTCGTAGATCCGTCGACTATGGTTCCTGGCAGTTAGGATACTGAGCAAGGCTGTGGCCAATCACAACAACTGTCACGTTTTGATACGTGCACTATTGTTACAAGCAGCCGTTCTATTATACAATGCAGAGTTCAAGATATTAATCAAGGATTTTGGAAAGGATATTGGATCTAATGTTGGAACAAACTCAATCACAAACTCAACCACAAACTCAAACTCCAACTCCAACAACAATACCAACAATACCAATGACAGTGTACAACTGGTAAAGGAGGTGTTGAAGTTGTTGCTGTATGTTTGGTGTCGTTCGTCTGAGGAGCCACCACTCAAGATTGAGCGAGAGCTGGACATACTGCGGTACATCACTGCCAAAGTGTCCAAGTACCAACATCTCTCCCAACTCAAAGAGATCATGGAGTTGTCCGAACGACTGATCGAGACCCTCGAGTTTGTCCTGCCCCATGCCGACGAATCATTCACATCGACCTCCTCTGCGTCCAACTCACACTCAACAGCCTGACCAAGTTAGTTCACCATCATCCACCATCATTAATAAACCTACTCGCTGCGAGGGTATCTCTGCGAGGGTATCTCTGTGAGGGTATGTTCACGCACAAGTCGAAACATTCAATTTGCGCGCTCAAATTTGAATAAAGTGATACTTTGTTCATTCATTCATTCATTCAATGATTCAAAGACAGTGAGATAGAGATAGAGTATAGACATATAAATATATAATGGATGTTAATATGTCAGATAGTAGTGTACAGATCAAAGACTTGTTTGATAGTGCTGTTCACAGCAATGTAGATGTGACCACACGTTCAACAATGTCTGCTAATGGAGTGGCCTTGTCTAAACAACAGAATTACTTGATGAACGATGCAACAACACTCAAGTCAATTGAGTCATTGCTATCGAATGATGATGTCTCAATGGATCAATACCAGCCTCTAAACCGTGCAGAGGCATCCTACACTTATTCAAAGTCAAGATTCAATCAGTATGCAGCCAACAAGACAGCAACAACAACAACAACAACAACAAGTACTACTACTACAACAAACAACAACAATAGCAACAACAACAACAACAACAACAACAACAACAACAACAACAACAACAACAATAATAGAAACACCACGAATACTGCATCAACAAGACAGTTCAACTATATCTACACAGATCGTTTGGAGAAGCTGTTACCTGTGTTGTTCTCAACGGTGGAGAGAAGATGGCCATCAATGAGTATCAACAAGATCCTGCATCTTAAGCCCGGCGAGGAGTGCATCCTCATCGGTACACTCTACAAAGAGATGCCACTCAAGCCAAACATTCTGAAACAATATGCTCAAGACGTATGAATATTACCTTCGCCACGCCTCGCCTCGCTTCGACTCGACTAGCTCGCTAACACATACACATACACGCACAACATTAGCGTGCCATCCTACCACTGCCTCCACAACGCTCATCGTTCTTGGGTGAGGGTGATGTATTGATCTTGGAGGATGAGACAGGTCGTGTGAAGCTCATTGGTGACAAGACATTGGTCGATAGCTATCTGACTGGACTGAACGTGGCTATAAGAGGTAGAGGACTGCCCAGTGCAGAGTTTGAAGTGCTCGACATTGTCCCCGCAGGATTGGCTCCCCAGCCCTATATCAAGCGCATTGGTATGTACCTTCGCCCCGGCGTAGACGTCTGAAGTGGCGGTACAGCGCAGTACCTAACCAAACTACCTCCTTCTCAACTCACAGAGAGCCTGGAAGAGGATGTCTACGTGTGTATTGCATCAGGTCTGAACATTGGACATCCCAACTCTGTGCTCAGTGTAAATTTATTGATGGACTACCTCAGCGGCAACCTTGGATCACTCAGTGTATGTACCCGGGTCATCAACAGGATGGATCGAGGACTCGCTTTACTGACACCTCTCACACTATCAACAACAATAGGACCAGAAGTTTGCATCTAGGATATCCAGATTGATCATTGCTGGCAACTCAATATACAAGCAACCGGATAGCCAAGAGAGCTTCATGAAGTATCGCACCAAACAGGAGATACAATCAAGACAACAGAAGCTGGCTTTGCCAATCAAAGAGTTTGATGCCATACTCAGTGACCTGTGTCAGTCAATCCCTGTAGATGGTAAGAATTGAATTGAATCAGTCATGTTCCTCTGGGAGGTGATCACCTTACTGACAGCAACGCAACACACGTCATATAGTCCTACCTGGAGCCACAGACCCTACCAACCTTTCACTACCACAGCTACCACTCAACTTCTGCCAATTCCCATTCAGCTACCAGAATACCAACTTTAATCCAGTGTCCAATCCTTATGAGTCTGAGATTGGAGGAAGAATGTAAGTGCATGAATGAATGGATCTGAGGCAAGGACCCATCACTCGCTCACTCACTCAATCGATCAATCACACAACAGATTCCTTGGAACATCTGGCCAGAACCTTGATAATGCATCGAGATATATTGATATGCCTGACAAGCTTGAGCTGATGGAGAAGATGCTTGTGTGGAGACATCTGGCACCAACAGCTCCAGACACATTGGCTTGTGCTGCGATGGAGCATGATCCGTTCATCATTGAGCAATGTCCACACGTATACTTTATTGGCAACAACGATCGCTTTGAGACCAGGTTGGTGCAGGGTGAGAAAGGTGAGCAGATCCGACTGATCCTTGTTCCAGACTTCCATACCACTGGCACCGTTGTCATGGTCAACCTAAAGACACTGGAGAGCTTCTCAATGCAATTCGACACTCAGTCTTGTTTCCCAATGGCACCATCATGATTGATTGGATGATTGATTGGAAGGACTAGAATGACAGGATCTCGATCAATAAATATCTGATCGTGAAGTGATCAAAAACTCGCGCCTGGCATGATTGGAATCATTTGATCAATCTGTCTAACCTCATCATGTAGTATATGTATAGCAACATGGAACTACTTGACCAATCATTCACTACTCTAGACATCATCAATGGACTGCCCAGGATATCAAATGTAACTTAATGTGCCAGTCAATTAATCAATCAATCATACTTACAACCATTCCTTCACAGTCTTTTATACAACAACCCTCACTCGGTACAAGGATCATTGATATATTAACATCGATTGACTTTGTTACAACAGGCCCACACAGCACCAAGCATGGCATCATCAATGTCAATCAGCTGACAACATTGAATGGCATGACAATCACTCCAGTCGACCTGACCATCTCACTACTTCAGATTGCATCCATTGAGTATGATCGTGATACATTCTGGTTCCTATTTGATCAGACCTTCCTCAACAACCTCATCAAATCAATCGTGACCATCACCAATAACAATGATCAACGTGATCAACTCGCCACTCACTACTCATCACTCATCATTGCAACACTCAACAATGTAAAGGATAACCAATATAACAATCATCGTCATATCACCACGATGTACCAACGCATCACATCAGCATTGGGCAATGATCGAGTTGAGCGTGTACTCAATAAATGGTTCCTGGAACCATCCCCTCCACCATGGTTCTTCAAGAACATCGTCCAAGCCAAGATGAACTACCTTGCCTCGATCCAGTCCAAGTCCCAATGCACTCTCTACACCAAACATAAGACACTGGTGTTGGAGTATGTATTCGCTCGATCATGTTGTGATTGATCATGTGATTGATCGCTAACCCATCACATCACTCAACCTTATCAGGTACATACTTAAACATTGTGTTGACGTCAGACATGACCATCTACACTTGTTTAGATATGATGAGCTTGGTATCTTCATGGACAATCGTAGACAACTGGTGGACACTCATCTGGACAATGATGATCACAAGGGTAGATGTGAGATAATCTACATCTTCATGTCACAACTACATCCATTTGAACAATACTTTAATAAGTACTTCAAGTCCATTCATCGATTGCATGTGGCCAGTGCAATGATCAGGCATTTGGGCAGCGAGGCATTCGCCAAGGTCTACCATCAATATGATGAGCACATAATCAAAGAGATACAAGTTAGATATGGCCTGGTGATGATGGATAGCATACTTGAATGCCTCACAAAGTCAATGAATGAGCCACCTTACAAGCTTCCCTGGCCACTCATCACTGCTGTCAAGGACTTCAAAGTGGGCGCCATCCGACACAATGAACAATCATCATTGGACAACAACATCATTGCCAAGGGCTTGATTAGATTGTACGTTGCAACGAGCAATCAAGGATTCATATATCATGCCTTTGCACAATTGCTCGTCAACGCAGACGAGTACGCATCAGTATCACTCAATCAAGAAGTGATCGACACCTACCCTGTCGAGCTCAAGACTTACTTGTCGACAAAGGTCACGCCTGTGGACAGTGAGAGATGGAGGAACATCGACCTGCTCACAAGATGCCAGCGACAGTCAATGTTGAGCGACCAGCAGAGATCAATGGTCATTCGTCTGCTCAAGGTTATCTGTTGGCCAGTTGATAGGTATGCGACGAGGGAGTGCAAGCCATCAGAACACACTGCGTCATTCATCCAAGCGTGTAACAATCCCAGCCAGGCATGGATCGAGTACATCAACATCAAGATGCATCGGAGCAAGAAGCGTATCTGCTCTCATGTCAACCAACATTACACCTCGCAATCACTCGTATTGTTGAGACAACAACTCCATGGTGTTGGACTCGCGCGACCAGTGTTCCACCTCCTCAAGTATGCGTACCTTTGGCAAACATTTGGTGGCGTCAACTTCAAGAAGTTCAAGCATATTCTCCTTGGATCACTTCCCCTTTATGACGATCAGATACAGATCAAAGAACAACTCGATGAGTTCAGGTCATTCAAACAACAATCAATCATCAAGTCCATGGTCATCATCCCTCACCATACGTCTGCCGCCAGTCCTCTCCCCATACTTCCAGTCGTGGTACTCAAACATATAATCCAACTATTATGCATGGCGACTTTCGAGGATGTGGACAACCCTGTGACGAGCATGGGAAGGCATCAAACATGGATCGTGTCGTCATTGTCCCATGTGAGCAAGATGTTCCATAGTGCATGCGCTTGGACACTGACCAACCAGGTGACCCCAACAATCAAGATACACTCAACACTCAAACATGTTGGATCACCATTATGTCTCTTACAGGATACGCCACGTCACATGAATGCATTCGATCTCATACATGTACCATTATCCATGTTGCCACAATGTCTTGCCAGACTAGTGAGATTGAACATTCACTACATCTCAATGACCATGAATGACACGAGTGTGCGCGTGAATAATGCTCCCAATCTCGAACGACTCACTTTCATCCAAGTTACCGATACCAAGGCATACCTAGCGATTGATCGTGTGGAGAAACAATTAAGTGATCGCAGACCATTTGTCAACATCCAAAAAGGAACCGATATGATGCATCACTTCATCAATAGGCGTCCAAACATCATTCAATCGATTCACATCGAGTCCTTGTTCAAGCCCATCCTCCATCCCCTCACCACTTTGAAGGTCACCGACTCATCCTCCTCGGATCCAGATCCAACATTGAATGGATGCATTATTAGGATGCAGGCCAGACCTGGAGTATGGGATTTAAATCTTCAAAATACTATCCAAGACCAGGTCACATTACATGTACATCGATCATATTTATCAAAGTACAAAACAATGCCCAAGTACAACAATGTATCAACATTGTACATACATCATAATAAGTTCGAAGTACCAGGTTGGAAACACTTTGACAATCTTGATGATGCTGGTCACCTGACCAATTATATCGAACAAATGTACTCCAACAATATTAGCAAGTCATTGTCATTGGTGTTCAATATCCAGGACCTTAGGAACTTGGAGTCATTGCTACCTACAAAGAGTACAACACCAATCATATCAATGGAAATCAATTTCAACAATATTGAAAGATTGATAGAGTCGCTGGTAAGTCATGATCCATCATCACTGGAACAACGTCTAAATCAACTTGTACAACATATCAAACAATATCCAACATTATCCACACTATCAATATCAATCAAGGACATTGAACACAACATCAACATCTCCATCCAAACTCCAATATGTTGATATTACCTCATACATGTAATGTCATTGCATGGTTGGAGACTCCATGTTCGCGACCCACGAGTTAACCCAAATTCAAGCATTGCTCAACTTCAACTTCATTTTCAATTTTGCTAACAAATAATAAGATGTAGAGATAAAATGGATACATTACCTATATTGCTATTTAGATCAATATGTAATATGTTGAAAGATGAAGGATGTTACATTGATCTTGTTTGTTTGGGATTAAGTTCAAAGAGATATTTAATAGAGATACACATTAGATATAATTTAAGATTGTCTAAACTACCTCAAATAGCAAAAGAACTCAATTCTAAAATAACATCGGTGGCAGAATCATTGTCTACATCATCAACATTGGAGTCAATGATCAACAATGGTGTATTAGTATACAACGATTCTAAACAAGTCAAGTTCCCCGCATCAGTCACATCACTCACTCTTGGACCAAAGTACAACAAGTTGATCAACTCTGACACACTGCCACCAACTCTAACAACGTTAATATTCGATCCATTTTACCCAAGAGACATCATCCTGACCAACCTTCCCAAATCACTCAAGACGTTGATACTGCCCCACACACAGGCGCCAGTACTCAACAAAGATTGTCTCCCGCCTGGGCTCACCACTCTCAATCTTGGTGACGAGTTCGAATGTGAACTGATGCCCGGTTTCCTACCACAAACACTCACCTCTCTCAATCTTGGTAGTGAGTTTGACCACGACCTTCATCCACGCTCACTTCCTCCGTCGCTTATGGAGCTCAAGATTGGTCCAAACTTTGAAGGCGTGCTCGAGGGCATGCTCCCGTCCACCCTCACCTCGCTGACATTCGACCCCGAGTCGGTGTACGATTATGAGTTCCTTCCGGGAACTCTTCCAGCAGGACTCAAGACCTTGGTGCTGGGCAATGATTACAATCAACCATTCATTGTGGGCTCCCTGCCTCCCTCCCTCACCTCACTATCCTTTGTTGGCGATAATTACTACGAACATCCATTTGCACCTGGTGTCCTTCCCACAACCCTCACCAGCTTAAAGTTCTCCAAGTTCACTCAAGTTGTCAAGTCTGCTCCCTATCCAACATCGATCACAAAGATGCGCCTGGAATGCAATGACCTATTCCCCTCAGTAGTGTTCCCCAGCTCATTAACAAAGTTGTCACTTATAAATGATTACTTTCTTTCGAATGAAGAGGAGCCCGTGCCATTCATGCCCGATTCATCGCTCACTCGACTGAACTACAATGGATACCTTGGCGTTGGATTGATTCCAGACTCAGTCACAGACCTAATGTTCGCCTATGGCTTTACCGGAGCGATCGAACCTGGCTACCTGCCCGAATCAATAACCAAACTTACCATGAGCTATACCTTCGATAGTCAAATCTTCAAGGGGTGCCTACCGTCATCGATCCACACACTCCTTATTCGGGGTTTATTCAATCGTGACATCGAGACTGGAGCACTACCGTCATCTCTTACCTGGTTGGAGATGGGAGACATGTTTGAATTTGATTTCTTACCTGGTCAACTGCCCGACTCACTCACTTACATGAAGCTTGGCAATCAATATACTTTTGGCTTCACAGATGGCGTGCTACCACCATCACTTACCACTTTGATACTGGGTGGCACGCCAAAGGATGATATCGTGTTCCCAAGGAAGCTCACCAATCTCTCGATACCATCAATTCTTCAACTCCAACATGTCAAGTGCCCTGTGGATCATCTCACGTTGGCATCAGTGACGCTGACCGCCAAGGTGTCGACGATTCGTCCAGTGACAGTACCAATCAAGACATTGACAATCCATGCCACTGGCGCGGCATTCAAACAACGAGCACAGTTCCTCAAGGCAGTGGTCAGAGCCGTGCCAAATGCAGATGCATACGATATCAACATCACCAAGGGGGATGTGATTTGGACGACACAACTACGCAAGCTTGATCAATGGTGCTCCATCGTTGTGTCTGATCGACACAACATTCAATTCTTCAAAATGGATGTATATGGAGAGAAGATGGTCAACATGGAGGAGATGGTACACCGGCTGACCAACGAGAATGATTCGCTCAAGACCCAGTTGGCTGAATCAAATGCCAAATTGGCTAAAGCTCTTGCCAAGATCGCAGAGTTGTTTGGAGATGCATCCCTTGAGAGTATCCCTGAACCACCTGTAGTTGCTGCTACCAAGAAGTCACCTTTGTCAAAGAACAAAAGAAGAAAGAAATAAAGAAATGTCAGGAACAACTAGGTGTGATCATCAGATTGATCAAGACCACTAATCATTCCTCCAATCCACTTCAAATGTATATTAATTTAATTAGGGGCATGATCACAACAAACATGACTCTATTATATGTGATAGTCATTTACAAACAATTATATGATTGCCTTGATTATTGATTTATTAGTCTATTTTGTTCATCTTTGATTGTTGTTGCTCACTCTCGTCATCATCGCCACCATTACCAAAGCCAACATGATCATTGTCTTCCCTGTCTCTCTTCCTCCTATATTGATCCAATATTGATTGAATGGCAGGGATGGACTTGTATTTGGATGATATGTTCTGTTGGAGTGTTGCTCCAATATCCAAGAGATGCTGGAGCATCACATGGTTCTGCTTATTGACCAAGTCAGTAGCGTACAAAGGTATCACAAGTGATTTGATTCTTGCACTTGCTTCATCACCAGCATGCCTGAGAAGGCAGTCCAGGATTGGCTCCCCATACATCTGCTGTAGGAGGATATCGCTGATCATTTGGAGGATTTGATTACGATTGATGATACCAGGAGTGGATACATAGGATACATCAACCTTGTCCAAGCTGATCTTAATTGGGAACATACCAAAGATTACATCAATTAGATCCAAGTTGCCCTTTAGGACGGTGTCTAGATATAACTGATCATACAACACCAATGATCCATGATTATTGAGTATATGAATGATAAAATCAATTTGATTATTATATATAGCCATGATCAACATTAATGTAACTCTGTTATCCAATGGTATAGTCTCCTTGGATGCTCGTTTCATGTTTATACTGTTGATATATTTGATTGCAAACTCAGCCATCCCAATGTCTCCAATACTTCCTATTTCCTTCCAATATGATGTATAATCTGGGATTTTATCCATGATAACCTTGAGTATGCCATGATGTGGCCGATTACCGATATACCAAGTGTGGTCTTTGGATAGACGTTTGTGCTTTGAGAGGAACTTCACCATTTCAAGTCGTCCCAGCCCAATGGCAAGATGAAGATGTTCACTTAATTTGATAAGTGATCGATCCAAGTTGTACACATACTCAAAATGATGAATGTCTTTGAATATGAGATGGGTCAGGCCCATATTTTTCAGCTTTGGAGCGATCAACTGGAGCATTTCCATCGATCCATCGAAAGGAATGAGTCTCTCACCCAATCCAAATGGGGCTGCATTGTGCTCGTAGAGTAGCATAAGTACATGGAGCTTGAGTTCTGTTTTGTGCGCACTCATGAACTTCTGGAAGAGTTGTCCATCTTTATATGGTTGAATGCCAAGATTTAGAAAGTTATGTGAATCAATCGTGACCATATATTTGATCAGAAGTGTAGCCTGTGTCAAAGTGCCATGATCGATGATAGTTTGGAGCAAGTAAATCAACTTTGCATCCGGCAATGATTTGCAATAGTCTGAAAGGAATGGAATGAGTGTGCCATCACCAGTGTGAACATATTCGCTTAGGATCTTTTTGATCAAGTCGACCACTCCTGGGCTTATTTCAGGGGTCTTGACAATAAGTAGGAGTTTGACGATGGTCAGTAGGTACCCTTCACTGATGTCCATTGGGTCACACAATAAGCCAGGTATTCCATGGACACAACTTCTTGACTTGGTGAGTGATGAGTTGACCATCTGATCAGTGATCATTTCTCTATCAATCAACCTGTATTGAATCATGCGCTCAAAGTGCTCTACATGTTGCTCCAATGACGTTGCATTCTTAAGGACTTGAACATTTGTGATTATGTCAACCTTTGGTACTTGGACAACTATCATGCTTGTGTTTGGCAACAAAATATCAAAGAGCTCGAGGTCCCCTGTCAAGAGAATATCCTGTAAGTGCTTGGGTGCCAGTGATCTGATCATCAAAGGTAGATCGTTGGAGAATGATTGATCACCTAACATATATCTGATCAAAGTGCTGGAGTGGGTAGATATGATTTTCTTTGTAAACTCAGTATGATCGACCCTTTCCATGTCGATGTATCCAAACTCCAGTAGTAACTTGATCATATTAATACTCTTGCTGTCAATGGCCGACTGCCACAATCTTTTTCCATATTCATTGGGCTGAGATTGTGAATGATTGAGAAGTAGTGTTCGGGTAATGTGGAGGTTTCCAGACTGGATTGAATCGTTTAGCAGATTGCCGATGGCGTGGAAGCATCTCTGAAATCGAGTGTAGAGCAAGTCGAATGTGTAGTTGTCAATATCACTGCCTACCACTAACACTATAGTTAAATTGTCTGGAGCATCAATGTGCAGACCACACTTGATACGATCGCGTAACAATCCATAATGCTTGTTCTTCAAGATGATACTACAATCGGTCCAATGTTGATATTTGTATAGGTACATCACCCAAGTGTTCTTGATTACCAAACTATTGATTGTATTGAATAAATATCTACCTTGTTGATCAATATGTATCTTTCTAATCTTTGCTGAGATTATCCTAAGTAGCACTCTGTTCGTCAACACAGACACAATAATATTTGACTGGATCAAAGTTAACATGTTGATGATATATTAATAATAGTAGTATTTGTATCACTGATTATTGTTAATGATTTGGTTGGTTGATGAACAGTATAATAGTTGTGTTGTGATCAAAAATGAAGTGAAAACTCAAGTGTATTTGATTGACTGACCAAACATTTGAATGCGATGGAACAACAAATTGTTTCCATTCTTTTAATAAAATATTACAATATGTATAAGAGAGGTGCCACCTCACAAATCATTATCATCATTTCCTAGAAGTTTGAGCTTCTCTCCACATAAAGTCTAACTCTTCTTCGGTAAGCTTTGCGATCACTGATGTAGAGGTTGGCAGCCTCAGGATTGGCCGGTGAATCTGGGTTCTCATCAGTCAACAATGATTGAATAGATGTCAAAATTGAGTATAAAGTATGTACAGGTGACCATCTTGTGGTCAATATATCCAAACATATTGATCCATCTGGATAAACTATGAAAGGGTCAGTAATGATTGATGAATATTCAACTCCAACTTAATATTAATATTGTATATTTACCATTTGGATGAAATATATCGGTGGTGAATTTTATCTTTGGAGGTTGCTCTGGATAATGCTCTGTGAATGATATTGAGAGGTTGAAGATACCTCCTTCGAAAGGTGTTTCATCAGGTCCTACTATTGTTGCAGTCCAATTCAATAAATTTCTCTTATCACTTGGAGCTGCTGATACTCCATCCGGTGATTGATCACTTATTTGTTTCAGGTCACTCATTATTCTATAAACTGCTTTATTATTATTACTAAATGTATTTAATGTAGCCATTTCTTATTATTTAAATATATATATGATACAAGGTAGATATAAATATAATATAGTTGTTGATATTATTTGTATTACAATATAATGTTTAAAGATAACCATTCAAATGATCACTTAATGTTGCCGACAAGGATATTGTTTGAATTGTGACAGAAATTCGGGTTTCTCCTTTGATTCAGTGAATTTTAGATAAAATCACCCCACGTTGTTGATGTCTCCTTTTCCAAAGATAGTTTGAACATTACTGGACAACCCAACAAGTATACATTTGTTTGTTATAAATATAATAATATTTATATAAAGTAATTCTTGTTTTAATGTGTCTTGTATGGTCCACCAATGAAACCTCCTTTAATTATATTTATATTTTAAATGTTGTTGGGACTTGACCAAAAAGTAGTGCAAAGGTTACTGTGGTGGGATGTTTTGTTTGAACTTCACCAATGTTATAATCATTCAATTATCTGATCAGATGATCAATAGATCAACAGTATAACATGTCAAAGCGAACGAATATAAATGGCTTATCATTTGATACAGATAATGATGTACAAACAAACGCCATTGCATCAACTACTCAACAACCATTGCAATCAATGGTAGTCAATGGTGACATCAACAACAATGGTCATTATAATAATAATAAGGTCAATGATAATCAACGAGTCAACGATGGTGATGATGATGATGGAGAGAATGAAGAAGATGATGAAGATAATGTTACCACAGTGTCATTGGGCAGTGATTCACAGCAACTTGATACAGATCTAGATTATGATAATGATGATAATAATATCAATGATAAACAGAATAATGTAGATGGTCATGTTGTTGATGATGCTGTCAATGATATCGATAATCTTGTTGAAGACCATGATGATGTTTATTATGAAGATGATGTCGATGTCCCCCATCAACAACTACTACAACTACAACAACAGACATCAAATAACAAGTGCGGAACGTATGCCATTGTCTTAATATTATCAGTATTTGTAGCTTTTATAGTTGGCATGGTTCTAACAACACCATCAAGTACACAAGAGACGTAAGTGTTTGTGAGGTCCATTGAGATTGATTGGCAGTCCTGACTGACCCATCCATCCATCAATCCAGATTGATCAAACAAGTTTGGTCATTGCCGCCTACAATCCAAATCACAACATTCAATCAAGCACTGGTGGACAAACATAATCGATATCAAACTACTTTGTTCCGCGATGATAATGCACCGCTCAACATTGGTATCGGCACTGAACAGCTGATCCAACAATTCCAAAGTCATTATGCGCCACTACGTAGACGTGCCGCCTCTAAGCCACTGTCCATTCATCTGTCGGCACCGGCCAACAGCAAGAATGACATTGACCAACTCCTCAATCAGTTCTATCACGACCTGTTCAAGGTGGACAGCAACGAATGTCTGGTGCGCCCAGCGCCTTTGGACAAGAGCGACCTGCAGGCGATAAACAGGATGGTGACCGATGTCAACAAGAAATGCAAGCGAGCAATGTTCATTATCGAAGCTGGAAATGCTGCAGACATGGGCCAGCTCGATGCAATATTCGACGGCGCGCTCTCTGCGCCCTCAACTCGACCAAATGACTTTAGTAGAGTGTCGCTGCCTGCCAACCATACCTTTATCGTCGTATCCAGCATTGGACAGCAACAGTTGACCGAGTATATTGATCAACAACTACCAGTGTCCACCGTCAAATCAGAAGGAATAAGCTCCAATCACTTGGTGTCGTTGGAGAAGATTCTGATCGATGAGACAAAGAAGCATTGGGAACATCGTCTTTGTACCAGGACTACAAAGATGATACCATTCGTCATCCGAACAACAAAGGAAGAAGAAAGGTTAGGTTGAATCGACAAGAAAGAATAGAGAAGGATACTTTAATACAGAAAATATAGATGAACTATGTTTGATTGATTGGTTGATTGATTGCGCGAGTGTATGGTCTGAGCCAACCTTGGCCGTCCGTCTGGTTGGTTAATTGATTGATTGATTGATGTAGATGATGATGATCCTGATGTGAGTGTCTACTCAACCTTCTTCTTGGACACAACAGAGAGCATGATGAACCAAATGAACTCAATAAAGAATGTGAACATTGCTCTCAAATGTGGAGGAGTGTATGTAAACTATTGATTGATTGTGTTAGGATCACCTAATCATGATGCTACATGCTACACTAAACATACATTGATAATCTGAGCGATTGGCCATATCTTCCAGTTCTCCTTGAGTGTTGGCAAGAGGCTAAAGTACAACTTCAAAATGATCGCGTTTGGTTTCCTGTCCAACAATGATGTCACGACATAGAACAGTATGTTGATGAATGGTGCATAGATCAGTTGATCTACAATGATCTGTTTGGTTTGATGACAAATGTAAGGGTTAACATGTCCTAACTCCCTCTCGGGATACGCGCTTAAACATACCTTGCCATAGACTTGATACTTGTCTTTGATATTCCTAAAGAGTCGATCAAGTACTATATACCAATAATGACTGATTGGTGAAGAGACTAGTCCCCAGATAGCAAACTTGATCACTCTGGACCAGTCCACTCTTCTTCTCTCCACAACACGTTGAGCAATCAAGTTTGAGAAGAAAGCGATTGAAGCCGATGTCAAAGCCTGTAGTAGTAGTAACCATATCGATAATCAGCATCATGCCAGCCCTCATCATTCAGTGATTGATTCAAACATTCATTCATTCATTCATTCATACCTTTGTCGGAACAGGATTATTCTTCAACTTTCTCATGTACCACGATGTGGCAGCATCTACTATAGTCTGAGGCTTTGAGTTTGACATGATCTCAATTCAAGTTATTATTAATAATCACTCTATTTATATCTTTATCTCTCTCTTATCAAGTAGTAGTAAGTAAATTGAATGAACTCAATCAATGCACCCACTTCATCATCTTCTTTCCCTCCATCCACCATTCACCCAACAACACTCTGGTTAAAAACAAGCAACAACAACATCTAATAGATAGCTGTGTGTTATTGAACTAAGAGAGAGTGAAGAGAGAGAATGTGTGTTATAATCATATATGTCCATAAAAGGTTGCGGGGCTGTCAAGTTCACAGAACACACACGTTCAAAAACCCCGTTGTTTCGGTCCAAACAAATATATTAAAAATTACCTTATTTGTAAATAATAAGATAATTATTCCTTTTCCCAATTCAAATCCAACTCGGACGATGTTCAAGAGACCCATTTATTGAGTCACAATTCGGAGACCGACTCGACTTAATTGCAGACTAAATACCGAACCCCTAAAACTTCCAACACTCATCGGGTACGGTACCATTTTGATTTGAAATCAATAAATATCCCAACTAAGATCATTTATTAAACATATTGTTTCATTACCTTAAATATACAGTATTGTACATATAAATAAGATAATTAATGACTTAAGACACGTAAACACATATTCTTTGAACAAACACACACACACAACACTGTTGTATTCATTCGTTGCCGTCACCCACCCACCAACCACATCAGCCCATCTCGGTGAAATTGAACGGGCAGATCTTAGCATCATTGCAACAACAACAACAACACTTGTCATCCAATTCATTATTAAAAGATATTACTTATAACAAAGATATTCAATTCAATCAAACATGGCTACAATGACGACTATTCATCATCAGAGTCATGCCAATGATGTACAGGCAACCATGTTACATACTACTACGATGGCAATGACTGCTGCAACAACAGCCACAGCAACAGCCTCAGTCAATGCTACGGCGTCAACAACAGCAACAACAAACAAAGATAATGAATTGTCTGTGGAGAGAACTGGAATCATTAGATTCTGTGTATACGTGCTCACCAAGAAGAGAATGAGAGCATTCATTCTCCAATTTGACTATCTCAATCATAAGATGATTGTTAGTAGACGTGGCAAACAACTCAAAGCCATCCTTTTCAATCAGTTACTTGAGCCACTCCTCTGTCCATTCGATCCAACTCTCATTACAATTAACACTTCAGAGCCCAAAACGTATGTTATAGAGTTGTCCAACTCTCTGGTCAATGTATCTAACCATTCCAATCAATCTAGATACACTATATATAGTTCAAACAATGTTGAAAGAGTTGAATTGAATAGGATCATTATTGATATCAAACGTAATCCATTGTTGGTAGCATGTCCGGTATGTGCCCACCCTCAATCAATCATTCAAACATTCAATCAATGATACTAACTATACTGTCCATGGACACTCAGTTCCTCGAGGTCAAGCTATACCAAGGGGCAGTCCAGAAGAAGGGAAAGGTCAAATGGTCACATAGATGGTTCGAAATTGAACAATTACATATTAGTTGCTTCAAGAAGAAGGACTCAACACTACCAGTGAATGTAATACCATTGAAGGGACTCACCGTCAAACAATTGGAACCAAGCCATCTCTTCCTTAGGAATGGAGTACGCACCTTCCATTTCAGAACAGACACCGAGGCACAATGTGACACAATCTACTCCAAGCTAGTCTCACTCGGAGTGTAAGTAGTCTATCTTCTCAAGGGGGCTACACCTTGGCGACACGCTCAACTGACTGTCATCATCATCATAATCCAGACAAAACAGGATCTTTGGAGCATTCAAGGAGGACAGGAAGAAGTCACTCCAACTACTTCCATATGTAATGACCAAGAAGTATAATCCAATCAACTTTAAGGCACTGCATAATATGTTGACAAAGCCGAATATTAAGTTGCAGGATCTGCATTTCAGTAGCTCAACGACAGATGACTCGCTGAGTAGACTGCCCACCAAGATGGTGATGCAGCCAGTGGCCTACAACAAGAACATCCGAGCATCAGTACGACAACTGATACAAATGTACAATAGCGCAATAGAGACACAATCAACAACATCATCATCTACATCATCCTCATCTTCCCTCAATCAAAGTCAGAGTCGGAAATCAGAGACTGTTTATACACAACAACAAGTACTACAACGTGTCAACTCTTTAAATAATGTACAATTCCTTCCTCAACAGACACCAGCTGTCGCGACTGCTGCCACTGGAAACGCACCAAATGTTGCCCAACTTATCGATCATGTGGACAACATCAATGAATCATGTGATACCATTTATCGATGGATCACGAGCAATAAGGAGACACTTGGCGCAGATGACTACCAACAACTGTTGAACGATGTGGATCGTGTCGCAGTTCATCTTCCAGACATTCGCAGGGAGCTGCCAGGTGCGACATCAGGACATGTACAACACATTGACTCCTCTTCCTCAACCTCATCACCTGACCGCGTCATTGAGAGCAAGGACTCGATGACACATGTATTCAACGACATTGACATTGGCCCAACATACTTGTCCGAGAGCTACAGCACATGTAGTAGCTCATCGGGCAGCAGTGATGATGAGTACAGTGTCAATGGCGAGGAGTTGGAGGAAGAGCAGGAAGCAGAACACTATGACTCCACCGTTCAAGTCAATCTCAATGTCTCACCTTATCAACAACCGAGGCGAAGTGATCAAAGATGTATAGACGACATTGGTCTCGACTCGAGAAGAGAGCAATACACAAGTGGTTGACTTTTGTGGCAACTCATGTACATAACATAACAAGACTGGATGAGGCGACGTGGCTTGGTTTGGTTGATAAACTGTTTGGAACAGTCTCCTCCTAATCACTAGTTTATTGGGTATGGTTATAAATGAGAGAGAGGTACACCGTTGGCAGACAGCTAGCTAGGGTAATGGGTAATGGGTAATGGATAAGGGTTGGATGGAGGCAAGAGTAGTAGTAGGGTAAGGGTTGGAGGCAAGGGGATAGGAAGGGTATAGGGGATAGGGGATAGGGGATTGTTTGTTGTTGTCATGCTAATGAGTCCGGACTGAATGAATGAATGAGGGTTGGACAAGGGGCTCTAGACGCCTTAGTCAGAGTGTGGAAGGTTGTGGCTCATTGAAATAGTGTCGGCTTGGGGCTTTGGTTCAGCCTTTCTGTTGTGCTGGAGGTGACTTCGAACTAAATGTCCGGCGGCGAGCGCAGACATCAGGGAAAGTTCACCAGCCATAACAGCGCCGGCAACTACTCGGGCGAGCTGCTCAGAGTTGGCGCCGGGACGCTCGACGTTGGCGCCACGGATCTTGAGCAGGTCCAGACAGGCAGACTGGGCGGGAAGGTGCGTGCCACCGCCGACAGTGCCAACCTCGATCGAGGGCATGGTCACAGAGATGTAGAGGTCCTTGCCATCGTTGAAGGGCTCCATCAGAGTGATACAGTTGGAGGACTCGACGTTCTGGGCTGGGTCCTGACCGGTGGCGATGAACAATGCTGTGACAATGTTGGAGGCGTGTGCGTTGAAGCCTCCAATGGAGCCGGCCATGGCCGAACCGATGAGGTTCTTGTCAATGTTGAGGCTGCACAGGGACTGCACGGTGGTCTTGAGGACGTCGCGAACAATGTCACCACTGATGGTGGCCTCGCAAACGACGGACTTGCCACGACCGTCCAACCAGTTGGTGGCCGATGGCTTCTTGTCAGTGCAGAGGTTGCCCGAAAGTGACAGGACCTCCATCTCTGGGAAGTACTCCTGGATCACCTCGAGAGCCTTCTCCACACCCTTGCTGACCATGTTCATGCCCATGGCGTCTCCGGTGCTGGACTTGAAGCGCAGGTACACCAGACGGCCGGCCATGACGATCTTGATGCTCTTCAAACGGGCGAAACGCGATGTGGAGTTGAAGGCGGTGGCGATCTGATAGAAGTTCTCCTGGGTCTCGATCCAGGTCTTGAGCTCGGCGGCACGTGTCACCGATGGGAAGCGGCAGACTGGTGCACGGGTCATGCCGTTCTGGAGAATGACCGAGCGGGCACCGCCCGACTTGGTGATGGCCTTGCAGCCACGGTGTGTGCTGGCCACGAGACAGCCCTCAGTGGTGGCCATAGGGATAGAGACGAGCTTACCGTCCAGGAGCAGGGGACCAGCGACACCGACGGGGATGGGGATGTAGCCAATGATGTTCTCGCAGCAGGCGCCCAGCACCTTGGTGTAGTCGTAGTGGTCCAGTGGCAGGTTGTTGAGGGCGCGGTCAAAGTCCACCTCGGATGAGTTTGGTGCGGGCACGGCGGGGATATTGGAGGGGTCCTCGCCGGAGGCGGCAGCCTTCTCGGCGGCAGCCACCACAGCCTGTGCGTGCAATGCGCGCTTGTGCTCCTTGTTCAAGTCACGGGCTAGCAGTCTGCGACGGATGTGTACGGCACGTGTGTAGTTGCCTGGCAGACGTGTCTCCAAGTTATGTGGCTGGATCTCTCCCTTATCGACCATCGATATAATCTCCTCGTCAGTCTTTGTCTCTACAGTACCATTGCTCTTTCCGTTCTTTGCCACTGGTGTCTCCTCCTTGACACATGATGGTGGCTTATAGTTCTAAGTAAGTTCATTGTATATGTTTGAATTAGTATGGGTTGGCAATAGAGTGTGTAACCGTGGCTGTGGTCGTAGCCACTCATCTGGACTTACATCATTGTTGGCGCCAGTTGAGAACAGGCGTGCCTGGATACCGATTGAGTTGGCTGAGGAGGTACCCAACACTCTATACATTTGACGGATTGATGTTGACAACATATTTGTGTATTATTACTTCTAGATTGTCTCTATTTTATGTGTACTATACAAATGTAAAGAATGAATAGAGTGTCAGAACTACATTGTTTGTTTCAGAAGTGAGGCCTTGGGTGGTGGTGGGTGAGTGAGTGTGGTGTCGTCTTTGATTGATTGATCGACAACCCCACCGCTACCCAAGGCCAGTGTATGTGTGTGACTGTTCATTTACACATACCTGTGGTTGATTGATTGATTGAATGATGATGGATAGTGATGAACGAGGGTTGATGTGAATGAAGTGATGAGGGAGAGACGACAGAATGTTTGTTTTGGAGGGTGTTCGTCTTGAATGAAGATATATAGTAATATATATATAACAGGAGGTAATATTTATTTATGTATGTGTGAATGAATGATAATGAGTGTCGATCGTCTAGAGATGATTTTGTTGGGGTAGCTAAGGTTACTCGGTTCTTCAGTATCAACACAACATAGCAACTTTATCACATAGTTGAAGAAGATAGAGAACCACACACCCCTTCTTCTTCACTTTTATCTTGAATATAATTCAAATTAAATACTTATTATTAGATTTTTTTGAAAAGGTCTAGTGATGATCATAGGTCCCACAGAAAAGACCACTATCAGGTTTGATCATTTTGGAAGTCCCGTTTTTGCAAAAGGACCAATCTTTCACCCATCGTTGTTGTGTTGGATGAAAAAAACCAAAACTCACTAATCTAAACAACGCAATAAAGTTTATGTGAATGAATGACTTGTTTGTTGTGTTAGATGAAGTAAAATGAAGTGATGGATGAAGTGAAGGGTGTTATACATTATTGATTGAGGGTTTATTAACACTTTATACTTACTAATTAATATTATATATATATATATATATATACCAAAGAGATAAAGATAGAGAGATATGACTGAGGAAGAAGAAATATTCGAAGATGGAATCATATTTGCCTCGGCAAAGAAGTATGTCATCCATCAATCAATCATTGTTTGAATGAAACATACATCCATCACTCAATCAATCAATCAATCAGGATGTCATTCATGATTTGATTGAATATGATTGATTGAATGAATGAATAAATGAATGAGTGACGGACGACATGTGATGATCAAAGGGAGTCCCTAACATATTCAAACAAACAATATTAGGAATCACATTACAATGTTGGAGGAGTTCTATCAACAGAGATTGAAGAATAAGACATTCAACGCAAATATAACGGATGCATTGGGAAACACTCCATTACATTACAGCGCAACATTTAAGCATTTGGAGTGTTGCAAGCGTCTGCTGGACTTGGGCGCCAGCGCAAACATCCAGAATCGTGCCGGTGAGACACCATTGCACAAGGCCGTCTGGTACAACAACACCAACATCGCCGAGCTCCTCATTGAGAAGGGTGGCGACGTGTCCATCTGCAACAACTCCAAGCAGAACGCTCTTGGTCTTGCCAAGTCTGCCGAGATGAGATCACTCATCCAGCAGGCACAGCTTGGTATGTATTGCGTCGAGCCAAGGCTAAGTCGTCCACTCACTGACACATACTCAATCAATCAATCAATCAATCAATCAATCAATCAATCAATCAATCAATCAATCAATCAATAACAGCACTCAAGTTCAACCCAGAGGACTTTGCCGACGACGATGATGATGATGAGCAGGACCCTGGCACAGCAAAGAAGTCAGTCACATCACACTCACAGTTCCACGCAGACATGGTTGCTGATGACAGTGATGACGATTAGACGGCGGACAACAAATGGCAGTATTATTAATAGCATCTGTCAACAGGCGCACTCTGCAACTCAACATATACATATACATAGATCTCCACCAAACATCCTCCATCCATCCACATCCCCGTATTTAATCAACAACAAACAATTTGGACAGAATGTACATTGATGTATACATCCTGCAACCTTAAGCTTGTATTATTATATTATTATTATTATTATTATTAATAAAGTATCCACTCTCTAGAGAAATAACCAAATACCAGTCAAGAACAGTCGTATTCATGAGATCCTGGAACATTCCTCCAAGTCCACAGCACATCATTATCCCATCCAGTCATTTTCCAGGATCAGCGTCATTTCCCAATCTGGTGGTGGTGGTGATCATCATTGGATTGGAGTTACAGGACGAATTGCCAAGCATGTCATTCAGGCTGACATTAACTTGAAGTAAAGCGTGTCTCTAGGCGTCCATGCTTAACTCAAAGGAGTTCAGCCCATTCTTGGATTGTTGTACGATCGACAACTTTTTTGCACATGGGATTCCTGATTTGGTTCAAAAAACTGGTGATCAGTCAGGTGGCACACACCGCTTGACCCCAAAGGCCCCATTTGTCAGGCCTTGCTTGACATCGATCATGATCGTTTTTGTCATTCTCCTAGAACAGATCATGTAGGATATTCATGTGTTCGTGAGTGTTGACGTTTGCCAAGAGGCGCGGACGTGGCCCTTCACACATCCACGCGAGCATGTACACCACCTACCGATATATCATGAGTGTCAATCAGTCAGACATTCAGCCAATCAGTCAGTCATCAGTTGACACCTAACTAACTATTCATCGAATATATAACATAATATATAAGAAAGAAAGAAGGAGGAGGACACATGATGGCTACAACTACCACTTACCGTCACCTCGTGGTGATGGTCATAATCATGACCACTGCCATTGTCTCCACAACAGTCGGAACTAACGAGCCAACATACGTACATGTGGCCAACTCAAATCCTACGAGGACACTCTACTTGACTGCCGCCACGCAGTTCCTCGACGTGGTCTATGCCACCGCGCCCATTGCCGACGTCTCAGAGTACACATACTACTACTCAGGCTTCACCATCAAGTTGATATGTGACGCTTCGCTCAACTGCTCGTCGAGCGCACCGACAGAGTTGCCCGCACCACTCACCCCAGACGCCGGCCCGACGCCCCCTGCCGAGGGCGCGTCCTTCACCATCACACCCGCGCAACTCAATATCAAGTACCGATCGGCCACGCCAGCCGACGATCTGACCGCCCTCACCACGGGCAACCCGCGACTCAACTTCACGTTTGTCGACAAGCAAGCGGCCGTGCTCCAAAAGACTCAGTTTGGCGGCGAGTATGAGGCCACCCCAGAGGGTCGCCGATTCCTCTCGCTAAGGTCGCCAGGAGGTGAAGACCGCGGTCTATGTAATGTCCAAACCTTCATGGAAGCCACAGACAATGTGTATGGACTTGGCAGCGCGTGGCTAATGTCTGGCTACTTCAACACGAAGCCTCTACAACTGGTGGCTGGCAACTACACCAATGGCGTGTTCTTTGGAACACTTGGCGTCGAGGTGGCCAACGCCACAATGATCACAGTGAGCGATGCCTACAAGAACGAGTCGCCGGCCAAGCCCACCAGTGACAAGATCATCTGTGAGGCCGCGGCCCCCTATGTTCCCGATGTGAGCTCGCTGTACACAAAGTACCCGTTCAACGCAGGTATCCCCGAGTCGGTCGTCTTCTCATTGGTGTGCACCAACAAGACTGAGGGCGGCCCTCGCTCTCCATCGTCCGAGGGATACATGCTTGAGCCATATAACCAGGAGTATCTGACCACGCCACTCATCCCTGATGCGCCAATCATCTACCTCAATGAGAACGTCACCTACTCCATTTTCAAGGTTATATCCACCAATCAAAATCAACAAGTTACCTTTGCCTATGGAAGCTACAATCGTATTGCCGACATTAATTATGGTACAGGAAGTAAGTGTTTGATCGTCTGGGGGGACTATTCCAGCCCCAGCCCCAGCCCCAGCCCACCATCCCCGCTCTCATATATACTAACAAACAATCACAATGTAACAGCTGTCCTGAGCACACCAGCAATCGATGCCGAGACCCAGGCCATGCAATTGGAGTACCCTACAACTGGTATGCCACCCTTGCCACCATTCGTGTCAGAGTTCAAGGTGTCAGTCACTCAACCAATGTACAAATGCTCATTGTTGATGTCCTATGTGGTGAGGATCGACAAGACTATCATCCATATCGAGGACGATCCACTCTCACACTGTGTCAGCGACAATGAGTTGAAGTTCATTGTCACTGTTCCCAAGGTACTCTTGCGTGAGGTGGGCTCCAGCCTGCTGTGCAACGTCACACTGGAGCTATTCAATCTCCAGGGTCGTGTTCAGACATACACAGTGGACACGGCCATTGCAATCAACAATGACCTCCCATTGGGCTACCGTGATGGACTAAGTGTGGCCCTGAGCAACTACGCCTCGGGTGTCAACACCAAGCCCAGCCCACAAGTGATCACTGTCAACACCAAGTACACCAACCTCAGGCAGACATTCGAAGCTCTGACCTACCCAGACATCACTCATACATTCGATCAAACGTTGTTGCCGGCAACTGGTGGCGTGAAACTGAGATACCCCTTTGGCCTGGTCGATGGCACGTTCGTGACAGGCACCGTACAATACCAGACATTGATCCCACCCCTCACCGATGTGTTGTTCACGACGACTGTCAAGGTGGGCGACTCACCCGCAAACCAGAACAAGATGTACTCGCAGCTGAGCGGCAGCCCCAGTGCCGGTATCGACAGGTCTGGCCCCGCACTCAACTCCTTCATCATTGACATGCAACAAGTTCGCAACACCACGATCACCTTCACCATGTTTGATGCGACTGGAATACATTGTTGTGAACTGGCCGTTGGACCATACACCAAGACCTTCTATGCCCAGGACATGTTGGGCAATGACCTCAAGAATGCTACGTTCTCACACATCTTCATCATGAACCAGCCATTCTGTGGCTACGCCGCCACATTGCATTGTGTCGACAAGTTGCTCAACCCATCATCATACTCATCGGGTGACGTCTACTACAATGCGGCCACCAAGGCACCAGTCCAAGTACCCTTTGTTCGATGCCAGTTCCCATTCGATGAGTCCACACCCGTGCCCGTGCATCTCCATCTCAACTACGACTACGACGACAACAACAACAATGCGCCACTCAACACATTCTACATCTCGCTCTGGTTCACCCAGCTCAAGCCTAGCGCGGTGCCCTTTGATCCCAAGCTCAATCTGGATTGCGATGACCCCGACCTATCGGGCACTTTGGACATGGTTAAGGACACTACCGAGCTTGAATTCAAGCTCTTCCGCACGCAACACAAGGACATACTTACCCTCAAGTCCACGACTTGCAGGCTGTCGTTGTACATGGACATCAGTGAGGGATCGTTCGACTACCCACACGAAGAGCTCAACTTCCTGCTCGGTCGCAATAATGGCAACTACCCTAATCCGGCAGTGATCCACGTTGCCAACATGGGCGACTCAAAGCCGCCTGTCGTCGAGTCAGTGACCGCCACAACATCGGGCATGGTGACCACAGTCACGGCCACAGTGACAGACGTCTCTGACCTGGCCTACGTCGAGATCACTCACTTTGACACGATGCAGCCCGTGTCATGGGTCGAGTCCCTGTCACCCCTGGCCGACTCACACGACGTCGTCTTCCAGATCGACGTGACTGAGCAAAACACCCTGTGCGGCGCATACAACCGTCGCTTCTTTGTTAGCAAGGCATGTGATGTGTTTAACAATTGCCAAGAGTGGTCCATCATTGACTCGGAGCTACAAGAGGAGAGGAAGGTACAGAGCTCGACAACATACACTCCCACGGGCAGTGGACCCTCAATCACCTCGTTTGACTTTGCGCCACGTGTGGTCGATCCACGCGTCGGCGCCGATGTGGTGTTCACGATGAACGTGGCCAGCGATGGAGTCATCCCCCTGTCAAAGATTGCTCGTCCAGTGGTGTCTGTCTACGAGACACTGTACTTGGATGGACTCCAATGCACAATGGACTTTGTCAACGATACATCTATGACTTGCAACATCATGATACCACCCAACTTTGGCCGTTTCCTCAATGCCAGCACCATCTCTGTGAATGGCTTGGCCAGCGTATGTGGTGATGTGCGCGGATGGACTGCCCCAATGCTCGCCGCTCGCAGCTTCCCTGACAGGATCATCTATGATGATGGCACGCCGGTTATTACACTGTCGCCAAGTCCCACCACTACGACCGCCACACCAACAGGCACACCATCGCCTGCCAAGAATGTCTCGATCAACCCCGTGCCCATCGTCAAGTACTCTGACAACAGTTTCATCTTGACTGGCTCCAACCTGGACACGCTCACCGAGTTGAACATCTCTGTCTACTACGTTGTGCCACCTGGCGTCCCCATCCCCGGCTCCAACTCCCGCGCCAGCTCAGGTCGCCGCCACAACATCGAAGCACCAATGCTCATCAATGGCACTCAGGTACCATATCCATTCAAGTACAATCCACTCAACGCTACATTGGCATTGATCAACCTTACTCAGATGCTCACCGTTGACTACCCAGTCTTTGTGGAGATCAAGGGCCAGGCACAGCAACAACAGAATGTCCCAGTCTACTTCTGTCCGAATGACTGCACATCCGCAAAGAATGGCCTGTGTCTGAAGAATGGCACATGTGTGTGTGGCACCGAATGGACTGGCATCGACTGCTCCATCAGCAAGTTGGTCAAGTGTCCAAGCAACAGTCCGGACAACCTGTGCTCGAACAAAGGTTCCTGCTCAGTGTCCATGTTGTGCCAGTGTGGCCCAGGCTGGAATGGACCGGGTTGCGAGGTCGCAGCCCCACTGCCCACGGCTGACAAGCCAAGCCCACTGGGCGTGCACATGGGCGATACCAACCAGCCAACAGTGACCTTTGACAACTTTGATGAGTTGGTCAACAGCGAAAGCAACGACAATGGCACAACGACAACAGTCAAGGTATACAAGTCATCCAGCTTCAAGGTCCAGTTCCTGTCACTGCGCGAGATCAACATCAACAACGATGTGGTAATCGAACACTTCTTTGATCAGATGGACATCGAGAGGAAGGAGGACAATGTGTATGAATACACAGCACCCAAGCAATCAGGAGCAGTTGGCACCATCAAGGTCACACTCAAGCGTTACTTGTCCGCCGACTCATTCCAATGGATCAACGAGACTGTCACACTGGCACCCAACACCGTCAAGTATGGTGTGTCGTTCAAAGGATACCCATTCAAGTCCAAGCTCAACAGTCTCCAGCTGACATGGTTGATGGAGGCCAGTGGCGAGGCTGGATGCAAGTACAACAGCGACCTGCCATTCCTCTCTGGAACTGAGAGTGACATCAGATACGTCGTCCTTCCACTTCACCAACTCAGTCTGTTTGGACGATTCCCCAACACAGTCATGGTCGATGGTCGTCCAGCCCTAGTATCCAACAAGAAGATCTCATCCAACACTACCACAGTTGAGATAGGTGTAGAGATACCCTACTTCACACAACTTGATATTGATCCAGACTTTGTAAGTTGCCTTACATCACATCATTCAATCACTTCCAAGTATTAACACAATCACATTATAGAGTGTACTTGTAAATCTTAATGAGGGTCGCAAGGAACCTGTGTGCGCCGCAAGTAGTACATCGGATAGGAGGTGGGTTCTCATTGTTGCCATTGTCGTGCCGGTTGTTATAGTTGTATGTGCCATTGTAGCAGGTGCCATCTATTACTTCAAGTACCGCTCATCAGGACGTCTGGCAGTGTTCCATCTCAAGAAAATGACAAGTCTTGGAAAGTATTAGTTCTAAAGTATAATATGTATTGTTTAATAAACTATGCCTGATGACTGTGGACCAGGACATTAATGATTGATTGCTTGATTTATCAGTTGTGGCCACGTATCCAATATGGAGAGGAAGTTGTTGGGCATATGGCGCACATCTTTGGGTGGTTCCTCTCATACACCTCTTGGGCTGGTTCCAGGTCTTGGATTTTGGTGTGGCCACATGCGGTTGTCAATGGATCCCTTCTGGTAATGAAGTGAACTGTGTCACTACTCCGATTTTGGTACTGAAGGAATCTTGGAGGACCCTCCCATTCAAACTCATCATAGTTGTCATTAGCGTAGAGGATCGGGGCTGGGCATTTGGGGTTGATTGTGATGATTCGTGTGGGGATGAGGGCTGGCGGGTGGACTGGTAGGTCAACAAATGGAGATCGATTGAGAATTGAACGGACTAGAGCAGCCCTTGTTCCAAAGATATATCCACATTTGGTACGAATGTTGGCGTAGGAAATATCCGTTATTGGATTGGGTTGAGCAATTATCAGTGTAGCGCGACCATTGATAATAACAAAACATGAAGGAAATCCGATTGTTTCGGTCATGTCGAGGAAGGTCCAATCATTATGAGCCCTTATGACCTGATCCACTGCGTGTCTTGCGGACGCTCCACATACTACCATGACCTTTGGCGATGCCATCAATAGTCTCTGGGCTTGAAGCTCTTTCCCCTGGCCATGCTCCACGTTACCAGGATGTGGTGCACCTAGTTCATTTGGAACTCCGGTGTACGGGAATATATCGCTCAGGAATATTCCCTGTTTGGTCATCTCGTCTACATCTCTCAACAGACGTTTCTTAACATTGGAGAATGTTTGAGATATTTCCGTGTTGTCTTCAGAGAGCATGAGATGTTGGTCACTGACTGGGTAGGACATGATGACACCAACCATCCATTGTTGTTGATAGAAGTTGTCGTAGTTGATGGAGTTGCAATTTCCATTACACAGCCACACCTCGGGTCTCGGTCGTTCAGCAAGGTTCGGCTCAGGCTCAGCAAGGTGTGGTAACTCCTCATTGGTTGCTGTTTGTGGACCTGCAGGTGGTACCCACTGATTAATCGCAGGATGATAATTAGCCGCATCACGGAGGAGAGTACTCCAAATCCATGTGTGCAAACCCGGTCTCGTATTAGCTCCATTTGTGGATGATAGGAGATTGGTTCTCCATATGGGCGCATTGTCATCAGGTTCGTACGTAAACATTTGACCAGGTTCGGGAAGAGGTTGAGCAACTAGTTGTGGTTGTGGTGGGATCAAGTTGTCAAGTTGTTCAGCTATTGCTTGATATAAATTGGGATGCTCTCCCCTCAGGTTTCTGAACACTGTCTGGAAGATGAGCAAGTGTTCAAGGGGTAGTGCATTGAGATGGTCAAGGATGAACAGCTGGCACAGATTAGCCAACCCCTGAATTCCATACATAGTTGACGCGGCCAACAGATTCAACGAGAATAACAATGTAGGATCATTATCAAATTGAAGCGTTTGCACATTGTCCCTGTATATCCTGTTGATTGATTGATTGATTTATTTGTTGATTGAAGAGTGAGAAGTGGTGGTTTGGGTAGGGGACTATTCCTGATCAAAGAAACTTATTGATTGATTGATTGATAAAGATACATACCATTCAAAAATGGGATCCAATAGTTGTTGAGGGAGTTCAATTTGATATTCACGTGTATCTGGATTGAATTGTAACATGTTGCCAAGGTGAGGAACTCGAATGGCTAGGATACATCTGTGTGCTGCATATATTTGACCATCATTGGAATGTAATGTGACATCGGAGAATACATTATTGGCCGCTGCAGCGGCCCCATCAACCAAAGGTGTAGGCATCAACAATCCAATATCCTCCATATTAATATATTTATATATTTATAATTATTTGATCACTATTAATAACAATACTAGTATGATAGAGTAGAAATGATTTACATGTTAATTGGATGATATAACCTAAATAAAAATATCTTTAAAAAAAATTCATGAATTACTATTTGAAGTTCATTGTTTATCTGGGACAATTCCAAAAAAAAAATAGATGAGTGCCAACCTCATCATCTGATCAGATGTTGTTCAGTGAATAATGACAGTTATTGTGACACATGTACTCATTCGAATTAGATGAAATATCTCAGACCCTGGATGCCTATTATTGGGCGACACTCTAGCTCAACCGACGCGTCCCTTTGACTTCGTACTTGTACCCTCCACTCGCACAATCAATCAATCAATCACATACTTACTCGTTCCCAACGCGCTTGTTACTCTTACTCTAGGGGAAATATACCCGATGTCATCAACTCGATCAACAATGGGTATCATATTCAATGACAGCCTAGCCCAGTGACTTAGTTGATCGCAAGTTTCATTCAATCAATCAATCATTCCAACAATCAATCATACCATTGTATCACTACAACCTTAGATGATATCTACGCTACTACTACTACTTCTGTTGTTTGGTGGCACAGTGTTGGCCGCCGATGAACCAACTACCTTTGTTTGTCTCGTGTCCAACCCAGGACAAACACTCAATCTAACATACTCGCCACGTTATATTGACGCATGGGCTGTGGCTCCATTGTCAACTGTGAGCGAGTATGTATATACCTTTGCCGCAGCAGACTCCTACGACTTGACCTTGGTGTGCAACAGAGGTACCCCTACCAACAACTGCACGACCAACTTGTTGGCATCCAACTACCTCACCGTGCCCATCACCTCGGACAATGGCGCGCTCACATCCGAGGGCGAACCTTTCACCTACACACCCAGTACACTCACGATCAAGTATGGTGATGGCACGCCCGATGACTCGGTCGCCGGCCTCAGTCTCACCACCGGCAGTCCCAAGTTCAACTTCACCTACCACGACCGTCTCAAGCCCAAGTTCATCAAGGCCCAGTTCGAGGGCGGGCTGATCAGCAACGCGACCGGTGTGTACCTTGGCTCGACAGGCAGCAGCACAAGCCAGTGCTATGTTAGCGCGTTTGTGGAGGCTACAGACAACCGACTCGGCGCGCACACGGCCAGCCTGGGCCGGTGGGTCAACACAATGCAGCACGTCTCGGGTACATACGCCACTGGTGTCTTTTACGGCCGCCTGGCCATTGATGTCGATGTGTCGCCCGATGCCAAGTCCATTCCACTCACCTTGAACGACTTGTACAGCAACCCTTCGAACCCCGAGACCTCGCGTATCCCCATGTTCTCATGTGTCGTTGCCGAATGGTCCATACCAAGTGTTACTCCACTGATGTCCGATGCACTGTATCTCAGCAGCCAGTCACTGGGCATCGATGCCCCAGTGTTTCTAACAGTGATCAAGAGTGTTAGACCCAATCAACAATCACCATGGCCCAATGGATGGAGTGTGAACTCAGACACATCGATATCATTCACACCCAATCCGAATGATCGACATGATAAGCCATTACTTTATCTCAACTCCACAGTCTACTATACTATGTTCAAGGTGCTCCGCTACAATGGCAATGCAACTGCCACACTCAAATATGATGACTCTGCCAACAACAAGTATGTCTCACTTCGTAGTATAGTTCCAAGTATGTATCATTTTGATCAATGTCCATGCTCCATAATAATTCCATTCACTAACTCAATCACTCCAATCTAGCTGAAGCCAATCGTCCAAGTGGCACATCAGCCCAAGGTGTCGGTGTTTATGCCTCGGCTGTAATGGTCGAGCTGCCTGCTTTGGGATCAATGTCCGTGAACTTGGAGTATACCTTGCCAGTGACCAATTGTCTTTTGTTGACATTCGTCAGAGTGTCAGTAGGCTCCACATGGATCTACAACAATACCAACGCTGCAAGATTGTGTACCAACGAAACAACTTGGCAGGTGGTGGTCACCGTGCCAATGAATGTCATCTCAGCCATTGGCGGCGACATCAGATTCTTCTTCTACGATCGATCCGGCTATGCCTTCGAGACCGTCTACACAATGAACCTGCTACCTGGCTCAGCCACACCGAACTACCAACGACCTGTGACCACCACCATTGTCTCATCCTCCGTTCCCTTGACCCCGAGCACACTCACCGTCCATGCATCATACGTTGGGCTACAAGCTTATCGCGATGGACTCACCGATCCTTTGTTGGAGCATGGAGTTGACAAGTTCTATCTTAACAACTTGTTCTCGACCAGGCTGCCATTCCCCTTTGGGCTGGTCAGTGGAAGGATTGATCAGGGCACTATCGAGTATGAGACAATGTTGCCTCCATATCCACCAGGAGGCTACAAGTCAACCATTAAGCTGGGCCAGACCAATGACTACCTAAATGACTTGCAAGGACAGTTGGCAGCGATCATTGACACCTCTGGACCCGCACTCAACGCCTTCACCATGGACGTGTCATCCAACTCCACGCTCACAGTCCAACTCACACTATTTGATGTGTCTGGAGTACATCGATGTGATCTCACAGTTGGCCCTTACAAGAAGACGTTCTACGCACAAGACATGTTGGCCGAGGATATCAAGTTGGCCTCATTCACGTACTCAGTGGTAATCAACAAAGTGTTTTGTGGATATCCTGTCACGTTGATATGTGTTGACAAACAACTCAATCCATCAGAGTACCAATCTGGCGGCTACTTCTATGATCCAGCCACCACTTTACCCACGGCCATACCCAGCGTACCATGTCCACTGGACCCTTCCCTTGCAGTTCCACTTCATCTCGCTGTGGACTACATCAACAACACCGACATCACAGTCAGTCTACTCTTGCTCCAGGTCACACCTACACCACTCCTCCAGCCACCAATCGTCAACTTTGAATGCTCCAACTCATCCAGGTCATTCCAACATACATTACAGCTTGATCAAACTCAATCTCTGTCAAACATGATGTTATACAGAAGTAATCAATCAATCAATATTCCAAACGATAGCAAGGCAACAGATTGTCGACTGACACTCAATGGCTACACTCATGATGATCTGCATTATCTTCTAAGACAGTATGATGGTGACTTTGACAATCCTGCCTCGGTTACACTACTCAACCCCCTGGACTCCCGACCTCCATCATTGATTGATGTCACTTCCACAGTTGATACAAACACAAACATTGCGATAGTGAATGTTGTCCTGGCAGACTCCTCAGACCTCTCATTAGTGGAGTTGACTGTGTTTGATACATTGCAGCCCATTCCACAAGTCCTCCGAACAGTGCCAGCCATAGGATCACGATCGACCACATTCACAATCAATGTATCATCACAGATGAACATCTGCAAGAGTGCCAGTGTAAAGTACTTTGTCAACAAGGCATGCGATGTGTATAACAATTGTCAACAATGGACTGCGTTGGACTCTGAGAGGTTCCCATCTGGCAGCAAAGTTCAACTTGGCGACCCTTCAAAGTTCATCACTATGGGTGGGCCTCAGATCACATCATTCAGCTTCACTCCAAAGATACTGGACCCGCGTTACAGCGCCAGAGTGGTCTTCACAATGGGTGTGACTTCCAACACTCCCCTATCCAACATCTCGCTGCCAGTCGTCTACCTCAAAGAGACCATATACTTGGACGGTTACAACTGTACAATGAACTTTATCAACTCCACACACATGACATGCATAATGGATGTGCCGAGAATGTTTGCTCGATTCCTGCAGGACAACACCTTCTCTGTCTACGGTCTGACCAGTGTGTGTGGCGAGGTCGCGGGGATGACTGGACCCCAACTGACCAACCTGGGCACACCCAACAAGTTCAACTACAATACCTTCCCAGTGATCGACCCAATCCCTTTGATGAAGCCAACTGATCGTAGCTTCATTCTCACTGGCGTGGACATCAGCTCCATCAAGGTATCGGATATAGAGGTGTTTGGTATCACCAATGGAGGATCAACAGTCTCTGCCACATCACAACGCTTCGATTATCCTTTCACATTCACTTCGCTTACGGCCACTTCAGGACGAGTAAGCCTCACAGACGATGCTCCATCATTCACCCCGGACTACAAACTCTATGTTCAGATATATGGAGGTGTCCACCAACAGAGCATCCCGCTATACTACTGTCCAAACGATTGCACTAGCCCTGATCATGGTGTGTGCCAGACCAACAACATCTGTCTGTGTAGCAGTGATTGGACTGGTAGCGACTGCTCGGTCAACAAGTTGGTTAAGTGTGCGAGTGATCAGGAGACTACGAGATGCTCTGGAAATGGCGCGTGTTCATCCTCAATGATCTGTCAGTGCGAGCCAGGCTGGAATGGTCCCGGTTGCGACTTTGTTGTGCCTTCAAACACGAGTGTGTTGAATGTGACCCTGGGCGAGCCCAACGAACCTGTGGCTACCTTTAGCAACTTTGATCAACTGCTCAACACCTCGGACAAGGTTTACCAATCGTCAAGTTTCAACATCCAATTCCTAATGTTGCAAGAGATGGGAAGCGATGAAGTACTGGTGCGCAACACTTCCCTCAGCAACCTGTTGCACATGAAGGCATTGCCCGACAACACCTACGAGTACACATCATTGGACAACAGCACAAACAACAACATTGGATGGATCAATGTGACCATCAGGAAGAACACAGAACCAGAGAGCTTCATCTGGATCAACGAGACGTTCAATCTACCGGCCAACACAATTAAGTTCACCGTTCACATGGCCAACTATCCATTCAGGTCCAAGCTGAACTCACTGGTGCTCACATGGCAGATGGAGAGTATTGGTCAACCTGGCTGCCAATATGGCTCGCGTGACCCAACCCTCGCTGGATCATCCGAGCTCGACCTACGCTATGTTCTCATGCCATTGGCAGGAGTTCAGATGTACGCCAGGTTCCCCAACACAGTACTTGTCGACTCTCGGCCAACCATTGTATCAAATAGAATGTTGTGGACCAACGTCACAACACTTCAAGTTGGAACAGTTATTCCATACTTCTCCACCATCGACATTGATCCAGACTTTGTAAGTTGACCTATCCCGGAAACATTCAACTCAATCATTCGCTCACACTCAAACACATGTAGAGTGTCCTGATTGAGTCGTATGACAAGAGTACCCATGAAGCAACATGCTCAGCTCAAGGCGTGGAAAAGAAGGACAAGAGATTGATGATCATTCTTGCCGTAGTGATACCATTTGTAGTGATGGCAGCGATAGTGGGAGGATTGATCTACTTCTTCAAGTACAAACGTACTGGACGTATTGCAACATTGCGTCTACGTAAGCTGGCAACAACTGGTAAATTTACATTATAATGTTACCAATTACTGTTTATAAAAGTACTGTGACGTAGTTGAATGAATTTGTCCCAGGTTATAATGCTCACTCTTGACATCTGGTCCATCACCAACAAGTGTATGTTGTCCATCAAGTAAATATGGTGTCTCCACATAAAGTGGACTGTTGCTTTCTCTCCATTGTGGGGCTATCAATCAATTAGTAAACATCGATTGGAACGAGAGATGGACAAAGAAGAATGAGAGAAGCAGAAGGTGATCGACGTCATGGAGGTCATGGCAAAAGCAGCATCCGACAACAATTGGTCTTGAACAAAAAAAGGCATCTTTGCTCAAGCAACCAATACCCAGTGTGATACCTAAGGTAAAGACAGACAATGAGACCTCACCTTATTAAACTCCAGCACCAACATTAACGACATCTATTTATACTACAAAAACTAACAAGATGCTCTCAAACATCCTCTCCATAAAGTCTGAGCTCGGGGAATTGCCAAACGAGTCAGAGTACTCAATCGACTTGTCGCCCTTGGCAACTATAATACTAGCGACCCAGGGTCCAAGTTCATAGTAAATGAAATGCTCTCCTTGGGCTTCTACTCGTCCAGTTGATCATTCGCGATCACACCCTCAAACACATCTTTGGCGTATAGTGATGAACAGTTGGTGGAAGAGATTGATCCTAATGGTGTATTTGAAGTTTAAGGTTAATAAATTGATTTATCAAGCTAATAACAGTGACAATTGTTACTTCCATGTCATGGTATAGAGTCTTCGTAGTCCTCCAATTGATTGGCCTTCAACTCGTTCATGTTGGTCCAACAACGAGCAACACCACTTCCACACCGTGATCCTTCTTCAATTCGGCATTTCCACCATCGACGATTGGCACTGGATAGACATATGCCACCTGTCAAATAATGTCTGGATGTCTAGTCTTTGTCTCCTTCTCGAATGATAAACCGGCCGCTTGATAGAGCATCTTGTTATTCTCAGTCCTCTTGAGTCGCCACGATGACTCCACTGCCATGAACCTACATGGCGCACCACTACCAATGTCGTTCAGGTAGTCCAGCGAGTTGACGGTGTCCTGGACGTAGACCTTCAATCTCGAATCGTCCTCTATCTCTTTGTTCACCTTGTCATTGACCAGTGTCACCTTGTCCACAAACAGAACCAATCTGATGTCGTCCTCGCCTGCTTGGAATGAAAGATAGGTGCCGAGCTCCTTGAATGCAATGTCGATCGCCTTCTCTGGATTGAACTGAAGTACCAATGTTGATATGAGTGGCAGTATCAATGACCTTCCAGCATTCTTTGTCTAACTAGGCTTCTTCTTATGATAGGCTGTCTTTGGTGACCATAAGTTTAGCACAGGAGCAGCATCACTCTTGCCAGCTGTGGCAGACAGCTTTAACCATGGATGTGAGAACTCCTTAAAGTGTTCGGCATTCTTCAGATGTTGGAGATATCGGGTAAGTGAGTGGATCACTCCAATCAATCAATCAAACAATCAATCAATCAAACATACCTTGCGATAACTTTTCTGTCCATGTTGATAAACTGGAAGGTCAGATTCTTGATCCAGCTTGGACTTCTTTGTAGTTGTTGGTGCAGAATAAGTTGCTTTACGCTTAAATGTACTCTCATCAAAGTCTGGATTGGCCACGATTGACACTCTATATAAACTCTGATTGTACAAAAAGAGAACTTGTCACTGCCCTCCATAATCTATTGTTGACCATTCACCATCTAATGTAACATACATCCATTAGTCAATCAATCAATCAATCAATAATCATTCCATCCATCATCAATGGTGTACATACCTGTATAAAGTAAATCTTGGAGTGCCATTCAAAGAGGTGCATTGATACAGTGATGTGAGTGAGGAGGGGAAGGCCAGAGAGATGAAAGAGAGATATAAGTAGTTTGGTTATTTGTAGGTTGGTGTTGATAATAAATGAGAATTGTGTCAATGGACATTTATTATGGATACCCTACTAGCAAGGTTGGTTGGTTGCATGAAATGGTGAGATTGGCGCGCCAATGAAAGAGAATGTGATCAAGCAAAACGGACTGCGTCCCAGCCTGTGCCTCGACTTGTAATGGAACAGCACGTCATGTAGGTGGAGAGGGTTCCCTCCATGAAATTCTGGTGATGTGTAAGAAATATTAACATATTGACATTAAAAATTATAATGGCAACTTATGATGGTGTCTGAGGAATCTGACCACAATGTCCTTTCCCTCCGAGGATGAGAAGTGGTAGTGGTACCTCTCCCCTAGTCCTACAAGAGTATCTTGTCCATATTTTGGAGGGACAATGGGAGCTAGGTCGTCCCCATGATGGTGAAGGTTCTCCAAGGTAGAGAACTCATAGTTGGCAAATACGTTCAATACCATGATCCTTGCTTGTTGGTTCAAGACACTCTCTGGGAGATCATGACCTGCAAAGGCGATGTCGATATGGATAGAGTCTTCTTGGTCATCCTCATTAATAATTGTATTACTAGACATCTTGTAGATACACATACGTTCTTTACGACAGACGGGTCCTTCAAAATGTCATTCAGACTATTCTGTCGTAGACTGGGTAATAATAAATATAAACTGTCTAGATTATTATTACAAAAATAATAAGATGTTGTCTGATGATTATTTTAGTATTGGAAAGAAATATTAAAGTATCAATGAACTGTGTTTGGATTGGAGCTGATGAATGATGGTAGATTAAGTCAGAGAGAGTGATTGAGTCATTCCATTCTTATACTAATAATCTAATATGGATATCACTACTTAAAAAGGTAGTGACCACCAAATTGAGACATTAAGGCTAAATTGAAGTTCAATTACCCACTACTAATATAGAGTGTCCTGATTGAGTCGTATGACAAGAGTGCCAATGAAGCTACATGCTCAGCTCAAGGCGTGGAAAAGAAGGACAAGAGATTGATGATCATTCTTGCCGTAGTGATACCATTTGTAGTGATGGCAGCGATAGTGGGAGGATTGATCTACTTCTTCAAGTACAAACGTACTGGACGTATTGCAACATTGCGTCTACGTAAGCTGGACGTATAATGTTACCAATTACTGTTTATAAAAGTACTGTGACGTAGTTGAATGAGTTTGTCCCAGGTTATAATGCTCACTCTTGACTTCTGGTCCATCACCAACAAGTGTATGTTGTCCAGCTTGTGTAAAATTCCTGTCAAAGTACTGCCTCCACACTTGATTATCAATCGAGATATGTTGGCATCCTTGAACTGTTGCATTAGTTTGGCGTCTCGATCGATGTAATGTTGATAGTTGTCCAATACCAGTGTGCGGACGTGTCCTTTGAACTGATCATTGCGTGGAAGTATGATCGTTCGGTTCTGAAACTCGATTCGTAGTAATGTCAATCGTTGGACACGACACTGCTTGAATGTGTCTGGGCCGATCAATGTCAACAGCTTGTTATTATATGTGATCGATGTGAGTGATCGAGGCAGTATGTCAGCAGACATCAATGGCTGGGAGTAACAATATCCAAAGTCCATATGAGTGATTGATTGAGGCAACACCTTTGGCTTCAGTATCTGATCGAACATATTACTGAGGCGAAGAGATTTGAGGGTGGAGGGCAGTGTACCAACCTCCATTGGTTGATTGAAATAGTAGCCAAGGTCCAAAGATTGTAGGTTTGCTGGCAGCATGTTTGGACTCAACATGCAATCAAAGTTATGGCCATACTCTATCTTTGTGAGGGACCGCGGGAGTACACCCGGGGCGAGAGATGTGTTGAACATGCGACCAAACTCTAATGTTGCCAAGCGAGGTGGAAGTGCTCCAGCTTCAATAGTCTGATTGAATTCATATCCCAATTGCAAATGGGTCAAAGAGTCGGGGAACGAGCCTGGGGCGATCGTTTTGTTATAGTTTGCCAACCAAAGATGAGTCAGAGATGATGGCAGGGAACCTGGTATGATCTCACGTTTGAAGCCTTCGTTGAGGTAGGTTGTGAGCGATGCTGGCAGTGTACCCGGCATGACTTGTTTCTTGTAATCTTGGCCAAGGTACAGAGTCTTCAATGATGACGGCAAGCAACCTTCAAGTTGGCAACTGTATTGGGCACCAAAGATCAATGATTCTAGATGACGAGGCAATGATCCTGGCTTTAAAGGTTGATTGAACTCATTGCCAAAGGTGATGTTGGTGATGGAGTCGGGGAGATCGCCTGGTTCGATTGCGACGTTATAAGTATCGTTGAATATGAATGTCCTGATATTGGATGGGAATGACACCGTTGACAATGGTTTGTTAAATCCTCTATGCATAGTAGCCTTTGATTGACTGTGAACTCTTGTGTCCCAAGGATGATCATCAGGGTTTGGTAAGATTGTCATGTCTGCTCATCAAATAAGATATTAGTAAGTGATTGAATGGTTCAATGATTGATTGATTGAATGATTGGTTGAACATACCATATGTAGTACATGTATGGAATATGCTTAGATTGTTTAGATTGAATATATCACGGTCGTGATTACATCTACAAGTGTCAGGTGATGGTCGTACTAATGTGACTCTAAGGTTATACAATCGTTTTGAAGACATGATGAAACAACATGTATCCATCTTATCATTCTCCATCAAGTAATCAACAATATATTGAAGTACAATCACTGGTAATGTGTCCATAATGTTATCTCTATGTTATCTGTTTGAATGATTGAAATAAAATGAAGGGGGCCCCTTAGTTTTATTATTAATTCTTTGGCATTGAACTAAGTGTAGCAATATGTATATGTTGGAATAAGGTTGAGAAATAATGAAGTAGGATGTTCCATGTGATGATGTATAATCTTGATGCGCTACTTTGTACCAAGAGGTATTGATTGTCCAACCTTCGAACACTTCCAAGGTAACTCTCATTCTGATAGAGTATCATTGATGCGATGTCCATGTCCATCATATATTGTGACCACATTTCATATGATAGTCTTAATTGATGAAATGTCCTAATTGTAAGGTTGGCAGCATGTCCATGGAAGATTGAGTTGCGTGGTAGCACTAGTGGTGTTTTGATGCCATCGCGCTGAAGTAGATCACGAACACGACAATGTCGGAAGGTGTCGTGTCCAATAAGATTGAGGAATTCATTTCCAAAGGAAATGGATGATAGTGATGTTGGCATGATGTCCGCAGACATTATAGGTTGTTGGAAGTAGCGACCAAAGTAGATGTATGTGATGGATTGAGGCAGGACATGTGGCTGCAATGGTTGATTGAATACTAAGCTTAACTTGAGCCATTCCAGTGATGGTGGCAACGCACCAACCTCCAGACTTTGATTAAAGTTGACACCGAGGTCAAGTGATCGAAGCGATGGGGGTAGAGTGTTGGGCAACAATGGTCGATTGAAGTAATGACCAAAGGTTAGGTCGGTCAGTGACGAGGGCAGCAAGCAAGGTTGTATCGGCAAGTTGAAGCTATCGCCAAAATTTAGTCTGGTCAAGCTTGATGGGATAGCCCCGGGCTCGAGTAGCTGATCAAAGTTCTCCCCAAAGCTGAGCTCTGTCAGCGAGCTTGGTAACACTCTCGGCGTGATTGGCTTATTGAACTTTAGGCCCAACGTCAACGACGTGAGTGATGGTGGTAGCGCGCCAGTGATGAACTCACGATCATAGCCACCAGTGTGAAGAATGGTTAGTGATGATGGGAGTGCCCCAGGTATGATCTGCTGTTCATAATTCTCGCCAATGTAGAGCTCGGTAAGTGAGCGCGGAATGGTACCGGGCTCAAGTTGATGATCATAGTCATCTCCAAGTCTCAGTGTTGTGACGCTGGGCGGGATTGAGCCGGGCTTCAAGAGGTGGTTGAAGTCTGTGCCAAGTGAGACCTGTGTGATTGAGTTGGGGATGTCACCAGGCTCGATTGGTAGGTTGAACGCGTCATTGAGCACGATCTTGTCGATGTGTGATGGCAGTGTCAGACTCGAGAGTGGTCGATCAAACCATCGTTGGAACTCGGCACATGATTGACTGATTGTTCTCGTGTCCCATGGTTGGCGTGTTGGGTTGGGGTTGGGATTGAACTGACCGCTCTGTGCCAGTGATGGTTTACAACGATGAAATATGTTTAGATTGTTGATGTTGTTCACATTGTGTGGATTACATCTACACTTCTCTAATGGACGTATGATTGCAAGTCGAAGTTTGTATAACCTCTGACAAGTTAATACTAAACAACAAGCATCTATATGTTTGTTGATCAACTCATCCACTATATTCTGAAGTATGATCACTGGTAATGAGTCCATGCTTTATCAAAATATTTGTTTGTTGTTATTTATCTCTTTGACTAATCATTGATTGATTTGTCGACATTTGATTATGTGCTCATATTCAAGATTGTTGTTTTGTTTGTAATTTTCCAGATATTCTGGATTTTTTAATCAAATATCCAGAAGAGTTAGAGTGCTATGGTATGGATACTCCGGTGGTGACAAGTAATAATCTCTTTATTGTTCGATAAGTTGGAAAGGACATCGAGGACAACATCGAAGGAATGATCGATAGAGGAATGTTTGAGGTGGAATAGAACCTATGATTAAGTTAACAGTTATTGATAAACTGATGAGATTGGTAAATATTGTTGGATGTTGATTTAGGTGATCCAACAATGATGCCAGATTGTCGTCGACATCATTTGCCATGGTGGCCGCACCATCATTGACCAACATTGTTTGATAGAGATTGATACAAAACTGGATTGTTTTGATTTTGTTCGATACCTTTGGCAACAAATGGACTGCGTGTTTGAGATATGATACATCTTGAAGTATCCAAGTGAGCGAGGTCAAGTGGTGGACAGCACTGTCGTAGTATCCATGCAATAAGTTGATATAATGTGGAAGATTTCTTAACCATTGATTATCAAGATTGAGTGTCAAATCTTGCAAATTATTGGCCTTTGACAATTGCTGGATTGATTGTCCTGATGGAAAGTTGATTGAATTAAGATGTTGTAGATTGTTTGATGTCAAATCATACAAAATATCAAAGTCTTCATCATCGTAGATAGGCCGCATTTGGATAAAGTTTGTTTGTTGTACAATGTCAAAGTCCCATTTGAAGTTGATACAGTGGCTGCCTGCTGTTGATGAGAGATCTTGAGAGGGAAGTTCATCCGCTGATTGAGGACCAAAAGGTGAGGTGGACTCAATGTCAATGGATATTAAGTGTTTGTAACTTATGAAGTTGTAATGTTGGAACATAATATTGAATGATTGTTGATAGTATGATGAGAATCGTCGAACATATTCTTGACCTTCATCAAAATCATCTAATTCATCATCAGAATAATAAATACTAAAGTCCAATTTCTCATCAACAATGATCATTATTTGTTGTTGTCCATCACTGTTGGCCATTTGATTAATCATTGAATATTTTGGATTCAAGATCCTGGACTCCTTGAACTTGATGAATCTGAGATTGGGCGCATTAAACTTGACAAAATTGATTGAGTTGCCAACGATGAATTCAATATGTACTGATTCCAAACGATTGAGACACATGTGAATATGCTCTGAAGGTATGTGCATAAGGTCAACAGCATTGAGATGTAGTGGCGGTGTGCGGAACAAGCAGTACTTGGAGCCCAAATGATCAATCCTGGACTTGATAGTTATTGTTGAATTGATTGTGTTAGACAGGGCATTGGATACTGCTCGATGGAATTGATTGGACACTGTTGACAACTCAACCAACCAAATGGACATCAACGGATTGGCCTGAACCTCCACGAGATATCCAAATATTTGCTTTATCAACAATGCTGGAATGTTGGTGAAGTTGATTGATGTGTGTCCTTCTTGTGCTGGACTGTCCTTGTCCATTTGAGACTTCAATGAATATCGATACTTCTTTGCCAATGAGTTGATCTTGAATTGTTTGTAAAGATGAGGATAACTATAATATCTTGGGTCTTGTCGGGTGGTGTCATCAAGTAGCATGCTCTTGGACAAATGTTTAGTTCTCATTTCAGGTGCGAACAATTTGCTGTTGTGTCGATACCTGAGCAAGTGGAAACGTGCTGCCGCATGAGGACAATCCTTTACAATCTCATTGTAGAGTTGAACGGGTATTTGAATAAAACTGCACAATGACATCTTATAGTCAATGTAAGTGATCCACGAGTCAGCAGGGCTTGGTTGACATGAGTTTAGGAAGTCACCGAGAGGAAGATCTGATTGATGATGATAATTAATGATGCTAAGATCATACTACTATAGCTCAACATTGAGTGGCGGGCCAGTGCTTTGAGAAATGGTTGTGGAAAGATGGTGTATATTCGATTAAAATGCGAAGTGAGGAAAAAGGCCAGTGATGCTTGATGTCGCACAATGAACTTATGCTCTTCTTGATGGTTCCCAAATGGTGACTTGGGTGACATCAACATGACCATGAATGCAGTGGACATGTATAGATCGACGGGGTGACCTATCTTGAGATCCTCCATGGTGTTTTTGCTGTTGATGAGTAGATCAACGATTCCGATCAAACCCCATGCAACTTCAAGTGATGTGTCAATGGTAACATCGTCCGCTTTGAAATGGATCACCTTTATACAATCTAGGATTGGTTTGAATACCTGCTCCAGGGAATGCTCACTTACACTCGTTCCAAAGCATTTGATGATACCATTGAGTAGTGATAGTCCGAGGAACTTGGTAGACCTCAACTCATTAAGTATGTACTCTTCATATCTCTTGTAATACTAATGAATGAATGAGTTTGAGTAAGTATGAATGAATGAATGAATGATTGAATGATTGAATGATTGAATGATTGAATGATTGAATGATTGAATGAAAATACTTACTTGTTGAAATGATGTTCCAAAGAGAGATATAACAATGTTCATGTTGTCTGCGTTAAGATGATGGAAGAATTGAAGTAAAGAGTCGATTGGTTTGATGAATGAATGAACCTCTCTGAACAGGATATTGAGTACATGTCCTTGTTTCTCCAACAACAAATCGATTAATGCTTGACTATTTGCTTCAGAATTCTGTTGATCATCAATCAACACGATGAGAAGCATCTTTGTCAAGTTGTCCAATATCTCATCATCTATGCATCCTTGTTTCAATATAGTGCAGATGAACCTGATTTGATTGTTTGATTGATTGATTAGGTTAGTGATTGATTGAGTAATATCACTTCAATAACATCGACATACTTGAACACTTCTTGTTTATGATTGAGGAACAGTTTTGAAGTTGACTTATTGGGCAATGAAAGAAGATAGTTTAGCTTCTGATCACTTTCTATTTGAGCTTGTTCAGGATCCAGGTTGAGTTGAGTCAAGAATTCATCTATCATCGATTCCTTATCAATGTTTACAATGTTCTCCATTAGGTAATATATATTCTAAGTATGTATTTGTATGAATGTAATGTAAAGTGAATCAAAATGTCATTCTTTGTCATGACTGGCAAAATTGTCCATTTTCCAAACTTTGGAAAATTCATGAATTAAAATGTTTATTTTATTTATTATTAATATTAAATAATGATTCATAGTTCTTTCTTTGTAATATATCCCATGTAACGAATATCATTCTGGATTGATTAAAAAATAAAAGTAGGTTATCGTTATCAATCTTTCTTATTATGATTGTTACTCTTATTGATTCCAAAATCAACTGGAATATTTCCGCCTCCTTGAATTGTTGAAAGATATTGGAAGTTGATGTTGATGTTGATGTAGATGTAGATGTTGATGTTGATTGATCGATTTCACCAAAGTGATATTGATATAAATTAATTTTGAATGTTCTTAGATGTCCACGAAATATATTAATATTGTTTGGAATGATCAGCTTGCTTTTGGGATCATTCCGTTGTTGCTGGATGTTGTTGATTCGACAATGTTTGAAGGAATCAGGTCCAACAAGATCAAATAAATTATTCTGATACAATATGGAAGTTAGAGATGATGGCATGATATCAACATTGTTCAAACTCTGTTGGTAAATATAACCAATGAACAAGTGTGTGATTGAATGTGGCAGCACCATGGGCTCCAGCTCCTGGTTATAGACATTACTCAACCTCAATGATTGGAGTGATGGAGGAAGTGATCCAACTTGGAGCTTCTTATTGAAAAATACTCCCAGCTTGAGTATTCGAAGTGATTGTGGGAGGTGGCCTGGCTCCAACCATTGATCAAAATAATGTCCAAATGAAAGCTTTGTTAAGGATGATGGGAGGATGTCATGATCGAGTGGCGAGTCAAAGTTGTCGCCAAAGATAAGCGTCTCCAGACGTGAGGGGAGAGAACCTGGTTCCAACCATTGATTAAACATGTTTCCAGTGTTTATCTTGATTATCGAAGATGGTAGCGTACCAGGTGTGATTGGTTGATTGAAATTGGTAAAGTATAGTTTGGTCAATGATGTTGATGGTAGTGCGCCAGGCATGAACTCAAGGTCATATCCACCCGTGTGAAGCTCGGTGAGCTATGATGGTAGTGCCCCGGGTATAATCTGTTCTTGGTAGTTGCCGCCCAGGTAGAGTGTTGTCATTGAGGGTGGGATGATCCCCGGGACAAGTTGATGATTGTAATTGGTTCCAAGCCATAATGATGTGACACTGTTGGGGATGGAGTCGGGCTTCAAGGGGTGAGTGTATCCATCACCAATATCAATGTGAGTGATTGACTTTGGTATATCACGTGGTTCGATCGGTACATTATATTCATCATTCATGTGAATCAACTTGATATACGATGGGAATGATACGTTGGAGAACGAACTTTTGAATGATTTATGGAAGATGGCAGCTGTTTGATCGCTAACTCTTGTGTTCCATGGATATTTCTCGGGGTTTGGTGCCAGTCTAAGGTCTGGTGGAATGTCTGATTGAGTGAGGGTTAGGGCGAGGGCAAGGGTACACATGAACATGAACATAAATATACCTTTGGGATTACAACAATGGAATATGTTGAGATTGTTTGTGTTGTTGGCAAAGTTGAGACTGCAGGTACATGTGTTTTGAGGACGAATGATTGAGAGTCTGAGTGTATACAATCGTTTACAAGTCAATATATAACAACATATGTCCATTTGATTATCAATCAAATGATCTACTATATATTGAAGTACTATCAATGGCAATGTGTCCATAGTCATCGTCATCATCATTCATTTATATCTTATCTTTATCACTCTGTTTTGTTTTAAAACGAATGATTGGTTGACTCTGGTCTCAATCATCACACCCATAATGATCATCACAATGTCATCTCTTCTCTTTGGAACAGTTCCTCAAGTATGCACTTTGCGTATATTCATTCACAGCAATGGTGTAAACAAGAAGTCATACCATAATATGGAATATTGAAGGTGTGATTGATTGATTGATTGATTAATTGAGTGAGTATGATGAGTGGGTGGTAGTGCTGTTCAATGAAAATGTAAGACCATCCACATCTTGAAGCAGCCATCCTTTTGGTTGGTTGGTTGTGTGTGTTACTGAAGAGAGGCAATAAAAATTTTAATGGGTTGTTGGTGTGAGGTGGAAAGCACTTCACAGAGAGAGGCAGGATCGGGCTTGGTTGTTTGCCTTGAAGGCAAGATATCTCTCATCTGTTGTGTGTGTATGAGAGTGTGTGTGTCTACATTCATTCCCATTCATTCACTCCTTTCATTCATTCATTCGTGTTGTCAACATCAGTACAACATAATCCCATATCCATCCCATCCGTCTGATCATTCATTCATTCATTTCATTCATTTCAATCATTCATTCAAAGTGTCTTTGTTTGTTTGATTGATTGTGTAATATATTATTTATATATTAAAAATTTAATATATCTTTAAAAGACCAAGACCAAATATCTTACTTGGTTGTGTACAATAGTAATATCATATAAACACAGGAGGACTACAGAGCAACATCAACAACTTCATCAACTTCACCAACAATAACATCAAAAACAACAACATCAACTTAATCAATCACCGCTTGTTAAACCTATAATGGCAAACAAGAAAGCAGAATGGAATAACGCCATGAAGAACGAGGGTCTGGACGACATGACTTTGTTGTCCAAGGTCACCAATGACCAGATCCTCGAGAACTTGAAGAAGCGTTTCGAGAAGGATATCATCTACACGAGCATTGGCGACGTGCTCATCTCGGTCAACCCCTTCAAGCCCATACCAATCTACACGGACGAGATCCTGCACGAGTACGAGGGCAAGTCGCGTATCGAGCTGCCGCCCCACGTCTTTGGCATTGCCGAGCAGACCTACCGTTCGATGATCAACGAGAAGGAGAACCAGTGTGTCATCATTTCGGGTGAGTCGGGCGCCGGCAAGACCGAGGCCGCCAAGAAGATCATGCAGTACATCGCCGCCGTCAGTGGCGAGCACGGCAGCTCCAGCAACAAGAAGGTCGAACACGTCAAGTCCATCATCCTCGAGACCAACCCGCTGCTCGAGGCGTTTGGTAACGCCAAAACGCTGCGTAACAACAACTCATCGCGTTTCGGCAAGTACTTTGAGATCCAGTTCAACGGCAAGAACGAGCCCGAGGGAGGCAAGATCACCAACTACCTGCTGGAGAAGTCGCGTGTCGTCTTCCAGCTGAACGGCGAGCGTAACTTCCACATCTTCTACCAGTTCTGCCGCGGCGCCACCAAGAAGGAGCAGGACGAGTTTGGCATCTACGGCCCCGAGAACTTTGCCTACTTGACCAAGGGTAACACGCTGGACATTGACGGCGTCGACGATGTCGAGGAGTTTGCCGCCACACGTAACGCCATGAACGTCATTGGTATCACGGCGCAGGAGCAGTACAACATATTCAAGCTGATATCCGGTATCCTCTGGGTCGGCAACATCGACTTCACGGAGCAACCGGGTGACAAGTGTGTCGTTTCAGATAAGTCCGTGTTGGACTTTGCTGCTCAGCTCCTGGACGTGCCAGCCAACTTCCTCAAGACCGCTCTCGAGTTCCGTCAACTGGAGACCAAGCACGGCAATCAGCGTGGTACCCAATACAACGTGCCTCTCAACAAGGCTCAGGCCATCTCTGGTCGTGACGCCCTTGCCAAGGCCATCTACGACCGTCTCTTCAACTGGCTCGTTATCCGTGTCAACCAAGCCATGGCCACAACCACAACCGGTCTAATGATTGGTGTCCTAGATATTTATGGTATGTCTTTCTCAATAACGTGATTGATCATGGGATCATTCCCAACTAACTCATTCAATCAATCAATCAAACAGGATTCGAGGTATTCGATCGTAATGGATTCGAGCAGTTCTGTATCAACTATGTGAATGAGAAGTTGCAACAGATCTTTATTGAGTTCACGCTCAAGATGGAGCAGGAGGAGTACGTGCGCGAGGGTATCAAGTGGGAGCCCATCCAGTACTTTGATAACAAGATCGTATGTGAGCTGATCGAGGGCAAGAACCCACCTGGTATCTTCTCCATCTTGGATGATGTGTGCCGTGCCGTCCACTCACAGACTGACGGTGCCGACAAGTCGCTGCTGCAGCGTATCTCTGTCTGCTCGTCCAACCCTCACTTTGACTGCAGAGGCAATGCCTTCTGTGTTAAGCATTATGCCGGAGACGTCATCTACGAAGGCCCAGGTATGATCGAGAAGAACAAGGACACTCTGCTCAAGGACCATCTCGAGCTGTTGCAGATCTCCACCAACAAGTTCCTTGTGGGCCTGTTCCCAGATGTGATCGACCCCGACTCAAAGAAGCTGCCCACCACTGCCGGTTTCAAGATCAAGACTCAGGCCAACGACCTTGTCACCACCCTGATGAAGGCCACACCTCACTACATTCGTTGTCTCAAGTCCAACGATATCAAGACACCCAACGTCTTTGATGGCCCACGTGTGCTCCATCAGATCAAGTATCTGGGTCTGCTTGATAACATCAAGGTGCGTCGTGCTGGTTTCGCCTACCGTACCTTCTTCCAGAAGTTCATGGAGCGTTACTACCTGCTCTCCGACAAGACCTGTTACGCCGCCAACAACATTTGGAAGGGCGATGCGCTCGGCGGTTGCCGCGCCATTCTCGCCTCGCAGAACGTCGAGACGGGCCAGTACCAGATCGGTAAGACCAAGATCTTCATCAGGTATCCCGAGATGCTGTTCGCGCTCGAAGAGACACGTGAGCGCTACTGGCACGACATGGCGTCGCGTATCAAGAACGCCTACCGTACCTACAAGGCCTTCCAGTACGAGTGCTCCAACCGTATTAAGAACGCCTTTAGGAACTATAAGCTCTACCGTCAGCGTTGTGCCCAGACCATCCAGGGCTACTACCGCGCTTGGAAGCAGGCCTCGCCCTTCTTCGACCTGCGCATGCAGACCGAGCAGGTGATCGGTGGCCGCAAGGAGCGTCAACGTTTCTCCATGATCAGCGTGCGCAAGTACTTTGGTGACTACCTGGACGTTCGTGCACAGAACTACCTTCTGGACGCGATGGCCGAAGGCAGGAACGAGGAGGTGATCTTCTCGGCCAAGTGCCAGATCATCGTCCATCCACTGCTCTCTGCCAACAAGATGAGCCCGCGTTTCCTCATCGTCACCAAGCAGGCCATCTACCTGATCAAGCTCAAGCAGAAGAAGAACCTGGCCCAGTACCTGCTCGACCGTCGTCTGCCTCTGGCCGAGGTGCAGACCTTCTCCATGTCCAACTTGGGAGACAACTATATATTCGTGCGCGCGCCAATGGTTGGCGACATTGCCCTGTGCTGCGACTTCAAGACCGAGCTCATGGCCCAGATCAACAAGCAAAAGGGCTCGCAGCTCTCCCTGTTTGTTGGAGCCGACGTCGAGTACCACAAGAAGAAGAACAGCAACAACACATGCAAGTTTGTCAAGGACGAGATGCACAAGGAGCCAATGTTCAAGAAGAACACTGTACATATAGCATCAGGCCTGCCAGGTTCTACTGGAATCAACAAGGTCAGGAAGAACCCCAGCAGGAATCTCAGCTCGGGCAATGGCGGTGGCAGCGGTATGCCCAAGAAGATGCCCGCGCCTGGCTCTGCTCCAATGAAGCCACCCGGAGGTGGCGGCAGAGGCATGCCAATGCCCAACCCAGGCGGCCTTAAGAAGAGCGCTCCAATGCCAAACCCAGGCGCTGGCAAGCCTGCAGGCAAGCCAGCTGCTGGAGGCAGAGGAATGCCACTGCCAACACCAGGCGTCGGTGCACCAAAGCCAGCCGCCGGTGGTCCACCCCCAGGCCAACCAATGGCCAAGCCAGCAGGAGGCAGAGGTATGCCACTGCCAACACCTGGCGCTCCCAAGCCAGCTGGTGCTCCAGCCGGTGGCCGTGGCACGCCACTCCCAACACCTGGCGCTCCAAAGCCAGCCGGTGCTCCAGCCGGCGGACGCGGCACGCCACTCCCATCTCCAGGTAGTGCCAAGCCTGCTCAGGGCGGACGCGGTACCCCTTTGCCAACACCAGGTGCGCCCAAGCCAGCTGCACCAAAACCTGCCGCCCCCAAGCCCTCAGCACCAGCAGCACCACTCTACAAGGCAGTCTATGACTACGATGCGCAACAGCCAGACGAGCTCACCTTCAAGGAGAACGACATGATTACATTGATCAAGAAGGTCGATAGCGATTGGTGGCAAGGAGAACTCCGTGGCAAGTCAGGAATGGTAAGTACTTATTTGTTGGTCACATGCTTACCTTTGCTTCATTCACTAACATAATATACTACTCTATAGTTCCCATCCAACTACGTCGAGATGGCTCAGTAGGCCTCCACAACATTATGTACACGTACCTCGCCATGGTGTGGCGACATCTTTGCAACAATATTACAATATCCTACATCCAACAACAAACAACAACAATCAGTTGATAACAATAACATCCACTTTATGATATTTATTACAAAGGAAGGGAGGAGTGTTGGATGGGGATAGAGGACGACTTGTCCATTGTTGTGTGAAGTTATTGATCAATCGATCAAACTAATAGTGATAACTACCATTTCCATGACCATTACTACTGGATACTGTTACGTCTTTGGTACTCAGTTGACCTCCTTTGTGTTGCTGCTCAAGCCATGGATACTTTGAGTTGTACTGTGCCAATGCCTCTTGGTAGGATTGTTCGAATTGCTTGGCCGACTCAAACTTGGCGCCGCCAATCAGTGCCTTGGGGAAGCACTCCTCGCACACTTTGACAGGATGTGAGAAGCCCAGATTTAGGATTGTGGACTCGCGTGCACAGCACTTGGAACAGAACACCTTCATGCAGTGACGACAATGATGCTTGCGAACAAACAACGAGAACTTCTCCTTGCATTGATTGCAATTCTTGACCTGTTCATCGTCTTCCCATGGGTGGCGGTAGCTGACATCGGGTGGAAGTGGGGCGCTGGGTGGCTGGGGCGGCAGCGTTGAATAGAGGAACTGTGGCGCAAACACTGTGAGTGGCAGTGTGACGACGAGATCCAGTGCGCCTGGAATGTCAAACTCCACCTCGACCTGGTAGACGGAGCGAATGTGCTCGCCAATCGACGACGAGGGCTTGATGTGCACGGGGATGCTGAACGGCAGGTATCGCTTGCCATAGAAGCATGGAGGTACACCGTCGTACTCTTGTTTGTAGACCTGTTTGTTCAATGTTCGATAATAGAGGTGTGCTCGAAGCTCGATGCGTTGTGACACCTTGATTGATATACGACGTGTTTCCTTGATTGATGTGTTGTTGATCTTGACCTTGTTGACGAGTGTCTCTCCGGGGTAGTAGACATTCTTGTTCATCCACACTTGTGCCACCAGCTTGCCCTTGGTCAGCAGGAAGGACTTGCGATTCTCAGCATAGTTTGGCTTGACCAGATCGTTGCATCTCTCGTTGACGACCAGGCGACTCGTGGCCTTGAGGTCGTGCTTGTGAGCAACGTCCACCGTGGCCTTGACCTTGTACATGATCGTGCCCTGGTAGTTGCCTGTGGCGTCCTTGCCCTCCTCGCTGAATGTGCCGGGTAGGGTGGGTGGCAGCTGATACTGAAAGGGGAATGAGTAGTGGCCTGGGTTGACAATGCCCTGCTGAGGATATACGCATATCGATGAGCGGAAGAACTCTTTGTTCTCACGATGATCGATCAATTTCTGTACGGTTCGCTTGTCATTGCCCTCGCCCTCTGTCTCTAGACGATGCTCTTGCAGCCAGACTCGCTCGAAGCCTTTGAACTTGGCCAGCACGCCCTTTGCATTGAAGGGAATGTGACAATCTAGTTCGACTGTGCCACTGACCGTATCGCCACCGACATACGACGTCTGATTCAGTACTATCCATATCTTATTGCGACTGGCATCGATGTGAGTGTGGCTTGTCTGTGCATGTGTTTCGTCAAACAAAGTAGTTGGGGCGTTTGGGGCCACAGGGGCTGGCCTCGAGTCTCCAGGCCATCCCGCCAATATATTTGAAGGTGGTGTAGAGCTATATGACATTCCTACTAATATATATATAATTGTACAACAAATATTAATGTTTGCAGATAGTTATAAGGTCTAATGATGAATGAATGAATGAAAGAATGAATGATGGGGAGCTCTCAAAGGTCAAAAGTTTTAATGAAAAAACGTTGAAAATCGATATTTTGCAACTTTCAACGAACCTTTTTGCATCTGCAAAAGTTCAAAAAAGTGAGTTAATCCCAATCACATCACGAAGCCAGCAGCCTTACACTGTCCAGGTACTTGATGATCTCCATGTTGGCAACAGGATTAGTTGATATGGCAACTTGCTTGAGGTGATCCAGTTGCTCTTTGCTTGGTTTTGCTGTTTGTACATAGTATTGTATTACTTCCAGTTGTCCATGATTAATGGCCATGCTGATATGATTGATTCTCCACTCTGGATACACATTGCGATGTATATAATCAATGAGTTGTACCCTGCCATACTTGTAGGCATTGATCACATGGTCCTCCGAGTATTCCTGATCGGGCTTGGCTATGGACTTTAACTTGCTGTACAACTCTATTGAACCTCTTGAGCATGTTGTCGAGATGGCCGACACCATGAAGCCATCATCAGTGATCAACATATTGTTCTCAAACAGATAGTCCAATGTTTCGTCTTGGCATCCGTGTACGGGCACCCACGTTGGGACCATGTGGTGCGATGCCAGTCCATGCTTGATCAGGAAATCTAAGATATCGATGCGTCCAATGAATGCTGCACATTGCACGCCGGCCTTGTACACTGGCGCCATCTCCTTGACATACTTGATGTTGGCAAACCATTTGTTGATGATCTCAAAGAAGTATGGCACGACCATGAGGCAGGACGACGTGTCGCCCAGTGCTGTGATCACCAAGTTCTTGCCGAGATCATATAGCTGATCGGACTTGTCGGCCTTGAGCAAGTATTGAATGTTGTCTTTGTTCTTGAAGAATTTTGCAATGTTTCCAGGACGCAATGAGAGGCCCGATGGGACCAAGAAGGTCTTGACGACAAAGTCCAAGATCTCTCGATTGCCATGATTCATGGCCATCTCGATCAGATCCTCGCACATTGATGGATAGGTCAGTCTGTGTTTGTACAATGTGGCGATCGTCTCCACCTTGGACGCCTGCATCAACACGAAGAAAAGGTAGAAGTTGTCGGGCGAGGACTGATGGCTGTGTTTGATGAATGGTTCAATATGCTCGGTATTGTTCTGTCGGACAGCAGTTTCAAACATCACCTCAACAGGGATGCTGCCAACGATTGAGTATTGCCTTCTGACATACTGTGTAAACTCCACATCGTCAATGCTGATGGACATGAGATGACGAGCGATTCCATACTGTCTCTCATTGCCTGTGCACATGCGTATCAGGTGCGGCGTGCCTGGTAACATCTCCATGAGAGTGATCAACAACTCCTTTGCTGTCGTCATATTGCCAATGACACATGATTGTGCCTTTAGATTGGCCGACTCGTATGTAAGATGAGTCTGATGCATGTCGTTGATGACAAAGTGCTCAAGCAGTGCAAGACGATGTCGGGTTGTTGGTATGGTTCCGGTGAGCAGTTGTAGACAGAACTTGTATAAGTGTTGTTCGTTGAATTTGTAGTGTGGACTGAGTGATAGTATGGTGGAGAGTTTGAAGTTTGATGTGATCAGCCAGAGGAAGATATCGTCGGGGCTGAGCTTGAGGTCGGGCTGCTCCAACTTGTTGAGACTGGCTGAGTGATACTTGTGCATTGTGAGGAACATGTTGAGCATTGATTCGTTTGAGTGGGTGATGGCCGAGCGGAGGAGAATGCCTATGGTCTCAGCATCCACCAGTTGCCCATCATTGATAACGACGTCGCCACTCTTTATCAGCATGTCCAGAAGTATGTGGGGATGATTGTGTTTACATATTGCTCGTATCAACGTTGTTGTGTCCACATTGAAGTGTGATGGCTTGCACGTTCGTATCAAGTGCTCGAGTATTATGATGTTGCCATTGAATGCGCACCAGTCGATCCAACGTAGATATATATCCTTTGATGTGTGTGGTTGATATGGAGTGGCGGCCATTAGCAATGAAGCCAATGGTTCGCTCGTGACATGTTTACATATGTGCTCAATTGAGTCGTCGGGGAAGTGCAGACGAGGACACTGCGGGCTGTGCGTCAACTTGTCGAGTAGCAATGAATATAAGTTTGATTGTAGTAGTTGAGTGATAGAGGTGCGATCATTGTACTTGATCAAATGATGATTGATTGGTTCTTGAATGAATCGAGATGACAACACCATGTCATGTACATTGAGCTTGTGAACCCAACTGAACAATATACTACGAAGGTATACATTTCCAAGTATAGTCTTCATTCTATCTGTATGTACAACCTCCTCAACTACAACAATGATACTAATATCTTTGACTAAATTAGGATTGTTTAGATCTTGGAGAGAGTGTGTGTGGATTGTTTATGTTTTATTATTCGACAACAACTTCACATGTCATTCATCATTTATCATGTAGCTGTACAGATAATATATGTAAATAATGGTGACCATTATATTTGTAAGTTATAACTAGAAACCCAACCCGAGTTGTAAACAACTACACATATATGATCCTCGTCCAAAGGTTATATCCAAAGAGGATAACATTGGGCTCTCCGAGGATAGATAAAGAATTACTACTACACCATAGTAGCGTAGCCCACCTCCATTGATACCCTTCCAAAGATGTTCCCCTTTGATGAGGTCTAGCGTATCTCCAAGGTAGTCTGTTCATTATCCATCGGAGAGTCCAAAGCTATTCCTCTCGTTGTTGATTAAAAATTGAAGTCCGGAAATTGAACCATAGGACCCAAATTGAACGCGTTCACAGTCGGGCATCGACAAAGTATTTCCGAAAGTGGACATACATCAACATCACTTTAAATATTTACATACATACTCATAATAATACATAACTTGAATAATTCTATAGAATTAATAACAAGAATGAACACCAAGGAATCATTGGAACAAGCAAAGAAGTTGGCAGGATACAAGGCTGTTGATGATTGTCTAAAGAGTGGCCTTAGAGTCGGAATCGGCAGTGGTTCAACTATAAAGTATGTGGTCGATCGCATCAAGGAACTCGGTCTGAATGTCACATGCGTGCCTACATCATTCCAGTCCACCCAGCTGATCGTTCAAGCCGGTCTCACATTGTCCGACCTGTCTCTGACACCCGAGCTCGACATCACAATTGATGGCGCCGACGAGGTCGACCGTGACCTCAACCTGATCAAGGGTGGTGGTGCCTGCCAGCTGCAGGAGAAGGTCGTCGCCTACGCCTCCAAGCAGATGGTCGTCGTCGCCGACTACACCAAGGACAGCGAGCACTTTGGCCAGCAATGGAAGAAGGGTATCCCCATCGAGGTTGTGCCAATGGCCTACGTGCCCGTCATGAAGAAGCTGGCCACCATGTCGCTGCGCCCAGTGCTGCGTATGGCCGTCAACAAGGCCGGCCCAGTCGTCAGTGACAACGGCAACTTCATCATCGACGCCCAGTTCGACACTCTCAACGACGTCCCCGCCATCGCCACCCAGATCAAGATGATCCCAGGTGTTGTCGAGACCGGTCTGTTTGTCAACGTTGCCTGTCGCGCCTACTTTGGTCAGGCTGACGGCACTGTCAAGGAGAGACAGAGATCATAAAGGCTAGCTACTTAGTAGTTGCATCATCTAAAGATAGAACTTTGGTTGTTTATTCGTCTTCTCACCATCGGCATTATTAGACTGAATAGCCTCGCGCTGCCTCTTGATCTTCTTGGACTGGCGATAGTTCTCGATGACCTTGCTCCTCAAGTTCTCGAATCGCTGCTTCTGTATATCGTCTCTGCGCTGTTGCAGTCGCAGCTGCTCCCTGGCGGCCTTCTGCTCGTCGTCCTCCTCCTCGCCATTGTTGGCCTGCTGCTGCTGCCACAGGTAGCTTCTCTGTGCCGACGCCTTGGAGTTGGCCAGCTTCTTGGCGGCCAGATCCTTTATGGCGGGCAGTGTTGGTGGGCGTTCGGCTTGCTCGCCAAACTTCAGATCATCCTTCAGCTCTGAGAAGTCCTTCACTCTTCGCTTCTTTGTCGCGCCACCATTCTGTTGTTGTTGCTCCTGTTGCACCTGTTGTTCATCAAACTCATCCTCGTCATCACTATCAATGCCCAATCTCTTCTCCTTCTTCTTCAGCTTCTCTGTTAGCTTCTTCTCCTTCATGAACCTGTGATTGAGTGTGGACATGCATGGTTAGATCTCGCTCGCTCGCAATCAATCAATCAAATAAACTACATACTCCTTCCTCTTCTGATAGGTCGTTGACTTCTTCCTCTTATCCTCTACAATCTCGTTGAATAGACGCTTCTTGTACTTGGTGATGGATTCTCCCTTCATTTGTTGGATGTTCTTGAGGTTGTCCTCGGGAGCATCGCTCTTTGCCTTGGCCTCGGCATCGATCGTCTTGATCTTCTCGCCCTTCTTTCTCTTCTTTCTCTTCTTCTTGTCAGTGTCGGCATGCTCCTCCTCTCCCTCCTCATCCTCCAACAACTCTGAGTTTGGCTTTGGTGCTCTCATTCCAAGCATAACCTCCAACTTGTACTTCTCCTCCTTATAATCAGTCTCTGCGTCATGTCCAGCCTTCTTGGCATCCTCCTTATCTTGTTGTTTCTTTGTCTTCTTGCTCTTTTTGTCAATGATCGTTGTTTGTTCATCATCGCCGTCAACTTTGGTCTCATCTTCAGTCGCTTCAGTTGATGCGGCGGTCGTGGTAGTTGTTGTTGTCGTTGTCGTAGTGGTCGCGTTGGGTGCGGGCAATCCCAGCTTCTCTCTGAGCTCCCTCTGTTCGCGCTCTCTCTCATTCTGCTCCTTTTGTAACTTCTTTAGTTGATTATTCTTCTCATGTTGCTTCTGTCTCATCTTCTTCTTATCCTCTATTGATTTAATCAATTGTTGTGCCTCCATCATTGTCTTTAAAGTAGAAGATACACCTGAATCCTTTCGACCCTTATATGGTTTATCCTTTCCAGCCAAAAGATTCTTCAATGGTTTTCTATTGCAATCTGGATCGCATGCCTTTAGTCTAGTATTTGCTCCAATAGTCATGACTATAGTATTATATTATATTAATTATCTCTTTGTTGATTGAGGCGAGTAAATGAATGAAAGATAATGTGGGGATTTCGTCGTCGACTTTGTCGTTTTTTGGAACTTTTGTTTCAAATTGAAACTTTTGGAACTCACTCATTCATTCATTCTTTGATCGACACGTATACAACTTCTCCATCTTGTTGTAATAATAATAATACATGAATGAAGGATAGATGGATGATGATATTATAGCCACAACACTTCGATCTAATATTGAAGCTTGTTTGGCATTGGATCAATGTTTGAGATCAACATTGGGTCCTTATGGAAGAGACAAGTTGATAGTGGATGAACATGGTGATTATATAGTATCAAATGATGGCGCTACTATATTAAGATATCTACAAGTCAAACATCCGGCCACCAAACTATTAATATCATTGGCCAAGGCTCAGGATGATACTGTTGGCGATGGCACAACCTCTGTCGTCCTACTCACCTGCGCACTCCTCCAATGTGCCCTTCGCTATCTCAATCCAATGTCCATTCATCCAAGACAGATACAGAATGTATGCTTGACATCACTTGTTCAATCACTCAATCACTTACTTACTCACTCAATAAAACATAGGGATACCAAGTTGCGTTGGATCTGGCATTGAAGATGATCAAGGATATTGAGGTACCGATTCCTTGGAAGGAGGATGAAGAGAGGGCAAGACAGATGATGTATGATATTGCATTGACATCGATATCATCAAAGATATTGGCACGATTCAAGGAACACTTTGCTCGGCTTGGTGTCGACGCCATCATGAGACTGGGCACAACACAACTCAATCAAGACAGGATCAAAGTGATCGCCATCAATGGCAACTCAATGATGGAGTCCAAGTTGGTGGACGGTGTCCTATTGCGCTACCCACCATCCAACGACAGCGAACGCAGACGTACAACATCTCGTTGTTTGATGACCCATGACCCAAAAGATGGATACCGCGTTGCAGTCGGCAAGCTACAACTCCAAAAGTTGCAGTCTGAGATGCACTCGGTCAAGGAGTCGCTGGGACAAGGTGGAGGCAGCGCCAGCGCCAGCTTCCAGCAACAGGAGCAAGCCATGCTCAAGGCCAAGATCCAACCGCTACTCAATCTGCACGCCAACGTCATTGTTAGCGACACAGACATCCCGGCATACCTGGACAGTGTGCTTGAGGAACATGGCATTGACTACTTCTGCATCTCAGACTCTGCTGAGTTGGAAGTGATCGCGGCCAATCTGGCTGCGCCACTGCTTTATGATATCAAAGGTGTGACTGATGAGATGCTGGCACGTCCCAAGGCGATCGAACTCGTGGCCATTGGTGACGATTCATTCTTGCAGATTACAGGCGTGGAGAGATCTAATGCCGCCACAGTCATCATCAGGTCACCAACAGATACCATGTCCCAGGAGTGTGTTCGGTCCTTCAAGGACATGCTCAACATCCTATTTGCATCCCTACACAATCCATTCGTTATTGGGTAAGAGTAACCTCCTCGCCTCACTCACCATCACAACCAACTAACCCATCATGTTGCTTATATAGTGGTGGAGGATGCGTCTTCATGTACATTGCCAACAGACTGCGGACAAGTCTCAAAGGTACCTCCAACGAGAAGTTGCAAGTTGTCGTTGGGGAGTATGCCAATGCCCTGGAATCAATCCCCGCACTCCTAACTCATAATGGTATGATGTCCATCACTTTGGAAATGATCAAACACTCATTCCTGTCGCTCTCACTCAATCATATGTAGCTGGCTTTGATAGTTTGTCGACTATGACTAGATTGAAGACACTACATGCAGTAGGAGATGGAGATAATAGATGGAAAGGTGTCAACTTGGACAATGGAGAGATAGTGGATATGTTTGTCGAGTTGGATGTCAAGGAGCCGTCTTTCTTGTTGACAAACATACTCACGTTGGCAACACGTGCCGCTCAGATGATTCTGCGAATCAACTCAAACATATTGATTGAACCTAGGGTTGCATTCCGTCCGCCTGGAACCGAAAGGACACCAACATCAGCTTCGTCGTCCACCTCAACCGACAATGACTATTCTTAGTCTTTAGCACTTTGTGGATCCTTTGTGGAATTGTCGTGTCAAGATCATGGATCGTGGCTGAAGCGTGTGCGACCTACCCTTGGCAATTGTAACCGGATCAAGTTTATCATCAACTTGGAGCCATCGTCATCAAGAGAGAGAATGGACATATATGTCCTGGTCATGTCAACATCAACATCAACATCACATGCTAGCCTGGCCTGGTTTGTTAGTGTGTGATCGATGGCTGGAGTATTGGATCGTCGCACTAACAAACCCCCCGCTTCGACAATGATTCCGGACCATAGTACTAGTAGAGCGAATGGTAAAGAGAGTGTGAAAGAGGGAGAGAGATTGTAAGATGCCATCCAATTCTAAATCGAGCAATGGATCAATGAGATTGGCCTTTAACCAATTAGTTCGATCAATATACAAATGCTGACATTCGATTGGTTCATCAGCGTCTGCGCCAACAACAACATCACATCACAACAGAACATCACAACAGAATGGAGGTGAGGTGAGGTGGAAATTTCATTGTCACCAACATCCAGACTCTCTGTCCTGTCTCCCTCATTCTCTCATTCTCTCATTCTCTCAAGCAATCAAGACATCCAATCAATCAATCGGACAGTCAGTCCGTTCCAACAACCCCCGATCAATCAACTCCTTTAATAGGTATTTTAAGACAACAACCTTCAAGTACATACCCGTCGTTGTCGTCGGTAGAAGATACATAGCCTTGAGCATTGCAATGTATTTATATCACTTCAATCACATCACTCTCGCTCCACCTATCCCTCACCCCAGTCATGTGAGTGATCACACACCCTTTCGCCAGTCGACTCAACTTCACATATCTTACCACACACTCAATCAATCAATCAATCACACACTCACTCACACACTCACCAATCACACACTCCAGGACAATATATATACCACTCTGTTGTAGACTATCATGTGACATTGTTGATGTCGATGGACACTATTGTGTGTCTGATTGTGTGTTAGGTGTGTGTGTTCTAACAATCAATCAATACAGACTTGAAGTAAGAAAGGAAGGAAGTGGATTGGATTGATTGGTGGATGGACGTATGGATAGTATAAGGCGTCCTCGGAGACGGAATGAAGGAAGGAAGGATGATAGGAGGGAATGAAGGAAGGATAGAAGTGTTGTTGTATGGCACCGTTTATTTTTAACATCCACCTGACGCCAGTGTTAGTCTAATCATTCGATCGTTTATCCTGTTGTTGTTGTTGTACAGTTAATTAATTAATAGGCTTTATTTATCACCTACCTTACTAGGTTAACAAAATCACCAAACCATTCCATATTTCCTGCCGGTGTTTATCCGTATCACATATACCACATCATTCAATCAATCAGTCAACTTCAACCTTCCAAAGTTAAACCAGTGTGTTCCTTCATTTGCCATTTCCGTGTATCCGTGTCTCTGTTGTCTCAACTCAATCATTCAATCCATCAATCAATCAAATAATCCGTGTGCTAGCTTAGATCATTATCCACTTTGTCCTCAATCAATCAATCAATCATTCAATCAGTCAACCTATCCATACTTTCATATCAACTTACCTTTGATCAACCAACTTCCAAAGACTTGGACAAACATAGACTCAATCAATGTCACATCATCACATTAGAAAGAAGAGTAATGGTACTCCATTGACATCCTCTGGTGAGGGTATAACACCATCATCACCAGCCAGAAGAAAAGAGAAAGAGATAGTTAGAATTGGAGATTATGTAAGTCCACTCAAACTCATACCTCAAACTCAAACTAATATCTCAAACTCACACAAACAACTTGTCACACTCTTTTAGAATCTAGGAGAGAAGATTGGAAAAGGTGCTTATGGACAGGTGTACAAAGGATTACATACGAGGACAGGTGACTTTGTCGCGATCAAACAGATTGATAGAGTTAGAATCGATAATAATACTCTGTGTTCGGTCAAGACTGAGGTGGAGATCTTGCAGCGCCTCAGCCACAGACACATCGTCAAGGTGTTTGGCTGCGTCGAGACACCAACACACTTCAACTTCATCCTAGAGTACGTGGAAAATGGCAGTTTGCGCGACGTTCTCGAGAAGTTTGGCCCACTCAGCGAGGAGCTGGCAGTGCTCTACCTGTACCAGCTGCTCAACGGCCTGTGCTACCTGCACTCGCATCGTATAATTCATCGCGATATCAAGTGCTCCAACATCCTGATCACCAAGGAAGGCGTCATCAAGTTGGCCGACTTTGGCGTGGCCAGTCAGCTCAGCGACGAGGTGCAGCTGCGCTACTCGGTCGTCGGCACACCATATTGGATGGCGCCCGAGGCCATCCAAATATCCGGTCAATCATCGTCCAGTGATATCTGGTCACTGGCCTGTACATTAATCGAGATGATCACTGGTAATCCACCTTATTACAGTCTTCAACCAATGTCCGCCATGTTCAAAATTGTTCAAGACCCTCATCCGCCCTACCCCACAGGCATCTCCAAAGAGATGGAAGACTTCCTCAACCTATCATTCGAGAAGGATCCAACCCTGCGACCACCCGCAACCGAACTACTCAAGCATCCATTATTCGAGAGAATCAATCATGTATGTAATTGTGTGTGAATGAGGGTGGAATGATTCCGTCCCATAAATTAACATTTACCCCCACTTGATCAATCAATCTAGCAACTACCAACATACTCTGAATTACAAGATACACTTAGAACTTTGAATGGAAGATCAAGATTGAGAGGATCATTGGTGTCGATTGATTGGCATCATCATCATAAGGATGGCGCTGGACATGTGAGGATGGGCAGTGGCAGCGGCAGCTCGGCGGCCGGCTCACGTCTGGACGACGACAACCACTCCAAGATGCAACAGACCATTATCGAGCAAGGCAAGACCATTGAGAAGATGGCCGAGGAGATCAAGGCGCTGAAAGATCAGTTGCAGGAGAAGCCCTTCATGGAGGAGCAGCAGTTCTACCGCGAGTACTTCATGGCGCTGGCCATCTCGGTAAAGGTCAACCAATGCTACCTGGGCAAGAACTACGACCAGATCTCTCTGCAGATATTATACGAGCGAGCGCGCCAACAAGAGATACCATGGTATGGATTGATGGACTGGGTGCCCAAACAGATCATACTCAAGGAAGACAGTGGCGGCGCACACACCATGGTCAATACTGCGCCGATCGAGGTAGCAGGCAAGCCACATCACAAAGGCAATCGACTGACCAGGAAGTTTGGCGGTATACTCCATCTTCAGCCACCTGTAAAGAATGCTTCCTAATAATAATAAAGTAGTAATAATCATACTAATTATTATTTATAATATTATCAATGTATGTTTGTTGGTTTGGCGCCTGGATCTTGGACCYTTGGACCTTGGACCTTAGATTGGCCCCTTTGTCCATCGATTGGTGAATATACTTTTGTGTAGAGGTCTTCATTCGATAAGTTGCTTATCTGAATAGATTACTCTTTGTAAAATAAAGGGCATGAGACTTGTTCAAAAATAAAATTCAAAATGGTGTGAAAGACAGGACCAAGGGCCCATTTTTCACGTGAGAAAATCAGATATTTTAATAGAATGGGGTCCTTTAAGCCCACGTCTCTTTATGTTTTGTTGAGGTGTGTTTACGATGATGATGACCAATTACTGATCGAAATATCATGGGGGTCACCTCCGACCAACAAACAATTTATCTTGTACAAGACTAGGTGGTGACCTGAGGCGTATTAGTCAGCAGTCAGTTCGGGTTCTCCTTTGGACCTCCGCTGCCATGGAACATCTTGGGCTGAAGATGAGGCGGTTAGGTCGGCACAATCAATGTAAAGGTAGATAGATACTTTCAAAAAGGTAGTAAAGGGCACTACCTAGATTGAAAGGTAGGGTCCGATTTGATTGCGGTGTTGTTGTCCATGTTGACCTTTTGCACATTGACTTGTACCTTGATACCATTCATACATACTTCCATTCAATCATTCAATCAAATATATATATACATATTTATCAACGATGACAGGACAACAGACAGTGTTGATATTGGCGTTGTTGGTGATTGTGACAGCAGCAGCAGGACCTTATGATAGATTAAAGTCATTTTGTCCAATGGCCGGAGACAAGGTGCCCTCGTGTAACTTTTATTACAAGGGTGGATTGAACACATTGGCAGTGTCTTGCGATACCAACAACAATACAATCTCAATCACTCTAAATTGCGCTGTGGTCAATACCAATGCCCAACCAAACTGGGTGACAGACTTCCCCTTATTAAAGTCATTGTATGTTGTTGTCTGTCATGTTGGTGGACTGGCCTGGACTGGCCTGGAATGATCCCATACTTACTTACCCACCCGCTCGCTCGACTCCCATCCAGGTCGATCACTCTGCCATACGCTGCCCTTACTGTTAATGCAACTTTGACAAAGCATACAAACATCAATAATCTGTATGTTACTGGACTAGTTTGATCCATCAATCAATCGATCACCTGACTAACACCAATCATGTGATCACCCATCATCACATTATGTAGTGAGTTGATCTCTGCCTCCTCAATCTACACCGAAGTAACTGATTGGACGACAATGACCAGTTTGCAAACAATGTAAGACAGATGGTTAGTCAGTATGAACATCACCGATACATGAACTTACTCAACAATCAATCAATATAGCTACATTCACAACCATGTTGCCAAGATCCCAACATTGCCAACAACACTTCAAAACTACAAGATTGATATCAGTCCGACATCTGTTGCCACTGTGGACATCCAGACCAGTCTATTCAATCCCAACCTTGTGTCCTTGTAAGCATCGCCACCACCCTCCTATTCATCGCACCACTCACCTGACTAATCAATCAATCAAACTCGCCTCATTCAGCCACTTGGATGCCACTAAGCAACCGATTGCTACACCAGCTTCCTTTACGAAGGACCTGATCACTGCATCCACAAACTTGGAACTATTGTAAGTATCATGTCCTCCGGGATATTGATAACATTTCATCACCTGACCACCCACTCTCTCTAGCCACCTATACACGAAGGGATTCAGCATGGACTTGACAGCTTTCTATAATATTCCATTGGTTTATGACCTGTAACTACCATCAATGCATCAACTCAATGATCCATGGTCTAACAGACACTAACTCAACCAACTTTTAGACAACTGATTGGTGTTAACCCTATTAATCCAGCGATCCCCAAGGCCAGCGATGTAAATTGGGACAACTTGCAGACTTTGTAAGTGAACATGGATAAGAATCAACATGATCTATTGATAGTGACATCAAATCACATGGACTGACAGACTCCACACACACATAGGACCTTGAGCAACATGGGATTGACAGGCAGCTTCGCCTCACTCTTCAGTCTTCCAGTTCTCGAGTCATTGAACTTGGCAAACAATCCAGTATTGACTGGCGAGCTACCATACACAATTGATGAGACTGAACTCCGTCTGCTGTGGCTAAAGAACACCAGTCTTTCTGGCACTGTGCCCAACACTACTCTGGATGGCCGCATCAAGAACCTTGACATCAGGACCACATTGCTTGGAGGACTCCTCCCCACAGCTTTCCTCTGTCTTCCAGCTGATGCCACCAACCCCAACACCAAGGGCAAGATGAAGTATCTCTTTGACGCCGTGTTCCTCAACTACAATGCTACCTACAAGGAGACATGCAGTATGTATCATGGATCCAGGTTGCATGCAAGTACGCACAACTAACATATTCATGTAGACCCCCAGATCACTGGAATTAGCCCAGACCCACTCTCGGTCAACTCATCAATCACTATACTTGGCAATGATATCTTTATTGTTGATGGCGCATACTCTGTTACCATGAACAACACGCAGAACAACATTGTCAATCTTAACTGTGCATCATCAAGTGCTGGCAGCATCACCTGTACCAACGGACTGATCCAAGGTCAAGGCCTTATCGTAATGACCATCGGTGGCAAGGTGACCTCTTACAACTTCACCTATCAAGGTGAGTCATCTGGAACTATTCCATCACTCAATAACTCAATCACTAACTCAATCAATCAATGTAGCACCCTTGATCACTTACGCTACACCATGTCCAACACTTGGTGGATGGATCACACTTGAGGGATACGACTTTATGGATGTTGTCGGATTGCAAGAGGGCTCAGGTATCACTGTGTCAGGCAGAAAGTGCCAGAACATCAAGATCATCACAGACTTTAACAAGGTGACCTGCCTGTTCCCCAAGGGAATCGACTCAGACCTGCCCTTCAACTTTGTCGTCAAGGGCATCACAAGCACTGAGCAGAGCGTCAACTTCTTCTACAACGCACCACATGTCATTGGTTCCGTGGCCATTCCATCCAGCGTTGCCACTCAGTTGAGCATCTCTGGCACAGACTTCTGGGACGACCTGAGCATGATTAACGTCACCATTGGCGGCTCAGTCAACTGCCCCGTCACCTATGTCAACCACTCCATCATCCTGTGCAAATTCCCCAGCACCGAGTATGTCCCAGGCACAATGGAGATCAAGGTCGTCGTCAACGGCCAGCGCTCGCCACCCAACCAGCTGTTCCAGTTCGTCGACGAAAAGATATGTCCAAACGGATGCAACAACCACGGCGTGTGCAGTGTTGCCATCGGATACTGTGTGTGCGAGGCTGGCTTTGCCGGTCCCTCCTGCTCGCAGTCCACTGCCAACTCGACATACAGCACTCTCACTGGCTCTCCAATGCTCACCATCGTATCCAGCGACAACCGCACTCGTCTCCAAGCCTACCTTGGCTCTGTGATTGAGAATGGCGCTGAGACACTCTCGCCCGAGCTCTGGACCCTCAACAAGACCGACGCCTACACCTCTGTCTACTCATGGAGCAACAGGATGGAGGTAGTCATTCGCCAGAACCCAGTCGCCGGCTCAGACAACCTGGGAGGCTCTGCCAACAACTTCCCAGCTCAGAGCTACACCTATGAGCTGCGCTACAAGAACAGCATGTACGTGTCGTCCTCATTGCAGTTCAAGATGATTGTGGCAACTGTGCCACTTGAGTGTGACGCCCCACCCATGACCCTGGCCTACCCATCAGGCTCGCAGCCCAACCAGACTCAGTACCTGCACTGGTCTCTGCTGACCCAGTATGACACCCAGTGGATGAGTCGATATCCCCAGTCAGGCGAGATCAACGGTATCTACGGCTCCGTGCTCACTTCTGTGTTTGCGCAGGAGGGTAGCAGCCAGACATTGTTAATCAATGTGTTCCCAACCCAAGGCAGTGGTGGCTCTGGCGCTGCTGCTGTAAGAGTCACACCCAGCAACACACCAATCAACTCGGCCAACCTGGTCTTTGACTTTGCCGCCTACCAGGCAACAACGTCTCGCGCGCCAGGCAAGACTGACTGCGCCATACCCGACACCACCAAGTCAGACAACAGATGGAAGATTGCTGTTGGAGTGGTTGTAGGTGTTGTCGGTGCAGCACTCATCGGTGGCCTGCTCTTCTACATCCGTAGCCAGCACGTAAAGATCGAGGAGACCAAGCGACTGCTCGATAAGAAGCTTGCTGAGATCAATGGACATTTGTAATCAATCAATCAAACAACTCTAATCAATCAATTCCCATCAACCCTAATCAATCAAACAAACATCGATTGAATAAAGCGACTCGTGTCGTTGTATTAATAATTACATAATGTTGCCTTGCTAGCTTGCTAGCTGTTGAGGTTGCTGCCATTGTTGTGCGCGGCTGCAGTGGTACTCCAAAGACCTGGCAGGGCAAGATTGGACCACGACGATTTGTTCTTGATGGACGGATGGTACTGGATCACCTTGTCCAGGATGTCGTAACGGTGATCAATGATCGAGTGAATGGCTATGTACAGATGCTGAAGCGTACGATTGTGCAACAGACTATCGAGGAATGCGTTGAAGCATTCGTTGGAGACGGATCGTGGCATGGCAAATTGGAGACTGCGCATGTTGGGACACTTGCGAATGACGGACGTGAGCAGGCCACACGTGCCATTGAACGAGAGATGTGTGACGTGATCAAAGGATGACACGATCGTCTCGTCATTGGTGACCAGACAGCTGAGTGGGCTGAGCTTGACTGTTCCAAGCTTGAGTGAGTGGATGTCGCGTCGGATGGGGATGATGTTTGAGAGACAGAGCGCGAGATGCTGGACCGTGCACGAGCCGTCCTGGAACAGATACTCAAACAGTGGCATCGATCGCTCGTCAATGCTGAAGCAGAGGTTGATGTCCAGTTGCTCCAGCTTGCCATGCTTCTTGAGATATGCCAGCATGCGGTCCATAAATAGATAGTTTGACGTGCGCAGCAGGTATCCAAGGTCGAGCCCACACTGACCGCGCTGCAGCTTGAGCGTCAGCTTGGTGAGACTGGTGAGTGCATGTAGCGCGCCAAAGAAGTGCTCGGCACTCTCGAATGAGTAGCACGACAGTTCAGCCTGGTTGCCCTCGTCCTGCAGCGTGAGCGACGTCAGACTGCTGAGCGAGGGCGTGAACACCGTGTCGAATATGTGCACATAGTCGGTCTCGGGACTGAGTGAGCTGTCGAGCGATCCAACGCCCAGATGCAGATGTGTGAGGCGCGAGTCGTTCTGACTCCGATTCCACTCGCCGAGACGCTGGAGCAATGCCAGCTCGTAGAGATCGCCCTCAAAGTCCACTTGCATCTTTGCCAGATGCAAGTGAGTAATGCCGCCATTGTCCTTGGTGCAGCCATTGTCGACAAAGAAGAACAAGTCCTCGATGGACAGCAGTTCGAGGCGATCGACGTTGGCCATAAGTGCGGGCATCAGTGTGGGCGCGTCGTCCAGCAGCCTGCTCAAATTCTCCAGGTTGTCAATCTGCATTCTCAGCGATCTGATACCGCCAGTGCCCTGTTGGTACAATGAGTAGCGTTGATGTTGCAGTTGCTGAAGACGTTGGAGATGTTGCAGATTGTCCAGCTGCTGGTGCTCACACGACGCACTAGTGTTGAGACTGATTGTAAGAGATGAGAGTGCTGAACGGAATTGCCATGATACAGTGGACAATGAATGATATATCCATTGTCTATACAATGCAATATTACAATCACTGATCAATGGTAATCTACCAACACGTCTATAATCATTCCATAACAATGTTATAATACGTCTTATTAAATATAATGGTATTGTAAATGATTGATTATTATTATTATTATTATTAATATTTGTTGTTGATGATGTAGCATGAGATGATGTCTTTGATTGATTAGTCTTCCTATTCACAGATGACTGTGAAGTCGTTGACATTGTTAACAAAGTGTCAGCTGACATCATATAACCTTATTATTATTATTAATTTTAGAGATATAGAGAGAAGTGTAATGTATAATACATGACCTTGTTGGATACCATTGCTTTCAATTGTCCGGCCAGCCGATGACCAATCGATGTTACATCATCTCTCTCTTTGTTTAGACACCAACAACAATAAACATCAACGACTTGGAGAAAGGTGTGTTTGTTCTTCGCGAACCCCACAATACTAGGTTCGGAAGCTTGACATCCTTGTACAATTTTGATGAAATTGGCAATTCTGGAAGTTTCGTGTGGTTTCATGATCGTTGTGTCCCGATGCAAGAAGGGAAGTATTTTTGCAAAAGACCCTGAAGGAGAAGACAAACACAACCCAACCAATCATCGATCATGACTCTACAACGTGATTCCCGGATAGACAGAGTTATATTTATATTACTAGAACCTTATTTCCATTCAACTGTCAATCATTCATTCATTCATCTCGGGAATCTGCTTGTCGAATCCTGGATTTGAATGACGAACAGGCCTCTAGGTTGATCGATACACCCATCCATCCTGGGAGGTTGTTATTTTATTTGGCAAGGTTTAATAATCCTGTGATGATGGATGTTACACCTTCACCAAGTACGAAGCCAGATGCAACGATGATCATGTAGTCATTGAATGAGTTGACGCGGTATCGCTTCCAGACGAATTGGACTAGTGAACCAATGCATCGCGGGATGATGTAGTTGGGTGTAATGTACATGCCAATGGCAATACCAATGCCACTGGGAAGGTATGGCTCCCAGCTGGGGAACACTGCCTCCAGTATCGGGATGATCGACACTAGGCCACCAAACACAATGCAGAATGGCAGCACGTGGTCACCCAGCGAGCCGCCATTGACTAGTCGTGCCATGCTCAGCCACACTCCTGAGCTCGGTGAGTTGATCGTACCTACCGAGCTGTACAGTTTGAACGCCGCCACGGCAAAGAAGATAGAGAAGAACGAGCCAATCAGCTGGCCGTAGAACTGTGTTCTCGGCGACGCCTTGAGCAGATGTCCAGTCTTGAGGTCCTGCAGCATGTCGCCTGCTTGTTGTCCACCGGCCTCGGCAATGGCACCGGCGACCAGGTTGGACACGATGTTTTTGGGCGCGACGAATGCAAACAGAATCTGTGATATCTTGCCAATGCCTGTGACGGGGTTCATGTCAGTGACACCGAGCGCACGCACAGCCAGAACACTGGTAAGCAGCGCAACGAGCACCGCCAACAGTGTTTGGTAGGCGGCCACGTCGAATAGTGGCGAGATGATCGCCACACAACTGATGGTGGAGATGACGAGTCCAATGATCCACCACTTGTTTGGTACGCGCTGATTGATTGGCGCAGGGTCGTCCGACGACTTGATGACCGTCCTCTTGATGTAGCCAAACTTGACAAGCAGCTGTTGAGTCATCAACACCAACAGAGACACGATCGACTGCGACAGCATGATGAACAGGGCAATCCAGAGCAACCAGCCCTTTGCGCCGTTTGTCACATCAAGTGGTTTGCCAGGTGCCCATCCCCTGTCATGTGCAATTGGTCCAAGTATCGCCCATCCCAGTATCAATCCAACAAACATCGATGCTCCTGTCTTTGGTCCCATAATCATTCCTTGGCCTACATAACTAAGGGCTAATCGTTTGATTGAATGGTAAGGTGTGAGTGAGTGAGTGAGGTGTGATGGTCGCGCTGGCGATACATACATGGTGTAAGCTTCCAGGCCCATGTGTTTGCAAGATATGTTCCAAAGATTGGCAGTCCAGAAAGGATGGGGAAGAAGAATGACATGAATTTGTACAATGCAGATGCGGCGAATGATATGAAGAGGACTTTGTACTTGGTGTTGAAGTTGGTTGGACGTGGGAATCCCTGGTCCTCCTCGAGGTCCGACGACGACAACGACGTGGACGAAGACATGACATTGGCGCCAGTGGTCAACGGCTCGTCTTCGCGACTGTTGTGCCGACTCCTTGTGCTGATGTCTGTCTCCTCATGCTTGAGCAACAGTTCTTCGCTCACTTGGCTGTCGTCCAACTCATGCAACACTGATATCATCTGTGCGGTGGCAGTGCCTGATGGGAACTTTAGCTTCTCGACCAAGATCGTCTGGCGTCGCAGTGGCACGGCAAAGAACACGCCAAAGAAGGCCAGTGCGAACGACCACAGCGTCAGTCCCCACCACGAGAAGTAGATGGGCAGCTCGACGTCGGCGGCATGTGATGAGCTCGATGTGCCCGGCACGGGCGTGACAGTTGTGTTGTGCTCCTGATGCCACAGGATCTCGAGGGCGGGGATCACGCCAATGAATCCTCCGGCCAGGGGCATGGTGGCAGTGGCCACGGCCACCGTCTGTAACAATACATTCTCCAGATAGTTGAACTTCCTGGTGAGCCTCTTCTCAACCATCCTAAACGCCAAGAAGCCCAACAAAGTAGACTGCAACGAGCCCATCGTAATCCAATCCGCTTGCAATCCAAAGTACATATTACTAAATGACATTAATCCACCAACTATAACTCCACCTGCTATTGCTCTAAACTACTCCCGAGTATGTGTCAGTCGACTTTGATTGATTGATTGATTGAGTGAATGATATAGACATACAGTGAACTGAGGCAGATCTTTGTGTTTGTCAATGATGTCATCAGAGTCGGCATCATCACCTCGAGGTTTGAGATGGTTATCATGTGTTGAACCAAGTTGTATATTATCATCATAGTTGTCATCGTCGCCATCTCCAGCGTTCAATATCGCACCAGTCTCCTCTTCATCATCATCCATCTTATTAATATTATCGTCGTTGTTATCTCTGTCTTCTAAACCGACATGATCAATGTCGTCCCTTTCCATATATATCTATATTATTATTTATTACTTATAGTATTGTGTATGAATAAATGATTGACGCCAGTTCATTCATTCATTCATTTTAATGAGTCGACTTTGGTTGGATCGTTAAGGTGTGACAATCTTGGCAAGATTGTCACATTCCACCGAATATGGAACGTTGTTCTGAACCATTCATGTTGTTTTTATTCTTTTCTTTCATTTTTATGCAATATCTTCGTCAGAACAATACCCAATGTTGTATCTTCAGATAACAATACACTCTTTGAACAACTAATAGCAGATTAATACAAACAGTTAATAATTTTTGTGATGTTGCTACACATAATTAGAGACACTTATACCAAAATGGAGAGTTACTATTCATTCATTAAGTTGATAATAGTGTTTTGTTTGTTGATAGTATCGATATTATTTTGATAGATCTCAAGGTTATAGATTCGTAATCAGGGAATGGATATATCAGGTGATCCTGCCCATTAGGACAAACATGGGTCTGTATTATGGACTTGAACATGAACAAAGGGGGTGGGTGTTGGTCAAAAGGAAGGCCATCCCGCTCTCCGACATGTCTCCATTCCCCCCTAATCTCTGATGGCGACACCATCCACAGATGTATAAAAATCAACTTTATGCATTGTTTTGGTTGTGGCATTGGTTCCCAACTATCTCTTACAGGTCAACCATGATAATAGTATAAGTTATATCATCGTCTACGGATCACTCATTCACTCATTCACATTACACATTACAACATATATATAACCAATGTCTTGTATATCTTTACAAAGTACCTTGGTATTGACACTCGTATTGCTTTGCGGGTTGTCAACTTCAACATGGACCGATACCATCTATCGAGGAACATGTAGATTCTCACACAAGTACTCCAATGATCAACTACTCAACAATGCCACTGCTCGTAAGGAGTACGTTCAATCAGTACTGCACTATGAAGGAAATGTATGAATGAATGAACATGCATCAATCACCATCACATAACTAACTTAACATGTTACACTCAATCATCATCATTAGTTCCACTCACATATGAATGGTATCAATGTATTCTCTGGTATGACAATCGATGGATGTAAGTTGGATCCAGTGACTGGTAATACGACCAGCCCAAGGAGGTACACTGCAGCCAGCAAGGAGTCGTTGCATCTTTCAATGTTGGCATTGGCACTCAATGGTCCAACGGCCGAAGGCTACGACCCTCTGGACTACTTCCATTACCCAATCAACTTGACTGCGACCGAGCGCAAGCTGATCCACACTGGTGACAATCGTGTAGACAACGTACTCGTCACTGCCTACCGCAAGATGGACACACTGGAGCGCTTCAACGCCCAGCAGCCAGGCTACGGTGGATACGTCCCCTGGAGTGGCGTCAATGACAATGGCCTGGACAACGATACTCAGACCGACACGTCGGTCCCATCACTGGACAATGGTGAGATGGTCTGGGGCATCTACGCTGTGGCCCATGTTTTGAAGCAGAAGTACCCTGATCACGCCCAGCTGGCCACTCGCTATCGCAACTACTTTGACTTGCTCGCCAACAATGCCATCACGGTCTTCTTGAACCGCACCAGCTTCTACTTTGCAATGTCGGCAGTCGTTGGCGCCAACAATGTCAGTGTCGCCAAGAACACCTATCGCTCGGACGGCATATACTCCTCTTCGGGACCCTTTGAGGGCGAGCTGTTTGCAGTGTTTGCCGACATCTTTGGCAAGTGGGAGAACCCGACACAGCGCGACAGCACCTGGGACCTGTCCCTCTACAAACTGAACTGGACCATCCCAGCCGGTGTGATCACCGTGCAGCGCGGATGGACATACTCAAGCCACGAGGCCTGGAAGTACATCATGATGCCCTACCAGAGCGTGCCCATCCAGGCGCGCATCCTGGCCAACTGCGAAAAAGCCCGCACCTGGTTCTCCACGCTCAGTGGCTACCCCGGCCTGTTTGCCGCGTCCTACAACTCGACACTCAACTACGTAACCAGCGTCGGCATTGCCAACCTGTCTCGCGCGAGCATAGACTACAACGACTTCTACACACCATACGGCGCATTCCCCGTGCTGATGGCCAATCACTCGGTCGGACTGGTGTGGTACAACAACATGCTCAAGGGACCAGCGATGCAGGGCCCCTACGGCTCGACAGAGTCGGGTACCAACGATGGCAAGGCCGTGGCCAACATCATGTCATGGGATACCAAGGGACCTTCGGTGATCGCCATGCTCGGTGGCATTGGAGACATTGTCAAGGAGGCGCTGGTAGGCGATCGCAAGTACCAAATGTTCTTTGATAGGATCAACAGCAGCTACACAGCACAGATGCCCTATATGGTTGGCGATAATGTACCATATGGAATGCCCCCACCTCCCGCACCAGATGCCACTGCTCACTACACCTTGTGTGATGACTATGTTGCCCCACCTCCGTCAACTGGAATTGTTTTGCGACCGTCTATCAACCTGGTCATCATCTCTGTATTATTATTGTTATTGCTCTCCTACACATCTTGATTGTTTGATTGAGTCGTCAAGATCATTCAAATAAAAGGATAATTATAATTGCTCATTTATTATTTATTATTGATTGATTGGTTGGTTGATTGATTGATTGGTTGATTGATTGGTTGTGTTGAGTGTATTATTACTAGGTATGGGAAGTTGATCATCACTCCATGATCGTGGGTAATCAACCTTCGATGAGGGAACATTTGTGGACAAGGTAGTTCTCGTAGGCTTCATAGACAAATGACATCCATAGATCGGTTTTGCCATGGTAAGCAGCAATTCCAATCTTCTCCTTTTGGCCTCTGGTCTTGTTGGTGAGATTGATTCCTTGCTTCCTGAGCCCGTTGATGAGGACATACTCACAGCCTAGTGCCATCAATTCAGAGCTTTCAGTATTTAGTCTAACGACACAGAGCCTTGTTTCTATAAGTATATCTATGATTCTCTGTTTCTTATCGCTGAGGTTTGTCTTCTCTTCTCTGGCCTCCTGCAAATGTTCCAAATGACGTCCSGTTTTTGCCCTTGCCTACATAGAAGATGGCGCCAGTAAACTTGTCAATGGTATCCAACGGTTGCCTAGTATCAATCATGAGATAGTTGAAGAAAATGCCAGTTGATCCTGCTGCTCCATATAATTGATAGAATCCAGCAAACCATTTCCTGCAAGTGCTCATTATATTGCTCTCATCCTCTGGTTTCTGTTTGATGTGGTCCTTGAGGTGACGAACCTTGGGGTAAACTTCGACATACTGTTGACAATGAATACAATGTTCGTTGAAAGGCCATTTGTTATTGTTGTCGTATAAATGGTATTCATCGTTGATCAACTCGCCATATCCTGAAGCTGTACCAAACAATACACGACCCTTTCTTTGGATACAATTGGTGCAACTCTCTGATTGATAGTCTGTTTCGAGAATATCAAAGGCTTCGTATGGGTCATGGATATCGGATTTGCCATGGCAAATGAGTTGAGCAATCTTATTGATGATGGTTTTTTTATAATTGCTATTTCTTTTAGTCTTCTCCTCATCCCTCCATCTAGTATAATCATCCTTGAGTTCAAGTACATCTGTTCTGATGTTAGCCTCACTCTCCTGGATATCTATAAACCAATCTTTTACGAGTCCCATCTAATTATTATTATGATTAAAATATATATTATTATAACTAATACTATAACAATGAATGATTATATGTTTAGTAAACCTCTCATTAAAAGTATCAATGTGATCTTCAAAAATCATCAATAAAATTAAATATTAAATTAACACCCACCTGAGGTATTCGGAATTTCAGGGGGTAATTTCTCTGTGGGGATATTTGTGCGTGAATGATGAAGGTTACAGGTCTGAGATAGTTGTAGACGTGATTCATTTAATTAATTTCCCAAATTATTAAACAAACAGATAATATTGTTGTTCTATAGATCATATACTATCTAATCATATATAATATATCTTATACAAATATAATTATACGATCATTTTGATATCATCTACATGTACTATTATTACGAGCATTTTTAAGACATGTCAGGCGTACCTCTTAGAAATACTCCAACCAGGATACAGAAAAAGGACTATAAAGAGAGAATGGAGGAAGTCTTTAAGGAATTGCACGAGGATAATACAATACAACATAAACAGTTGGCACTAAAGTATGATGTCAGGCCAAGCGATATATCCAAGGCATTGGCCAACAATGGCATCCCATCTACCAAGCGACTATTGGAGGCGGAGCAAGAGGATATGCTTGTCAAGGAGATAGAGATGTCGTTTGCACATTACAAGCCAATGACAAAGAGACAGGTGTTGACTCGAGTTGTGGAGATGTTCACTGAGCGAACAGGAACAAGCAGAGACAAATTGCCATCGGATGACTGGTGGAAGGAGTTCAAGAAGAGACATCCAACTCTAAAGTTGAGGAAACTCAAACAGCAAGATCTTGTGCGTATGAACGCCGAGCGCAAGGCATCACTTAATGAGTTTAGAGAGACCATCATGAAGTTCATCCTGGAAAAAGGCATCGAACAGGATAACGTGATCAACATTACGAGAAAGGTGTTGTGTT